TGGCACCCGCGCCCGGTCTCCAGGGCCTGTGGGCAGAACAGGAGCGCGAGGCTGGGGGGGGCGAGGCGACTGTCTGCCCGTCTGCCCTTCTGCCCGGCCACGTGCAGCTCTCCAGCCAGCGGAGCCCGGCCCCGGCATCTGGGAACTCCTCATGGGTCTGGCCCTTCGCTCCCCTGCCTCCCTTCCAAACATTTCCCAGGGGCCGTTGTTCGCACCGCAGTGACCTGCTGGCCCCAGGACAGCGTGGGCCCACTGGGGATGGACGTCAGACAATCCGCCGGCCCCTGACTTCCCAGGCAGAGCGGGGACGAAGGAACAGAGCGCGGGCGAAGTGTCGCAGGGGCGCAGGTAACAGTGAAGGTCACGACAGGCCAAGGCCCTGAGGGGGCCCCCAAGCCCCCGGGGCGCCCCTCCGACCACTCCCCCACATTCACCCCAGAGCTCCCCACGCAGTGGGGCCCCGCTCCCGCGGCTGGACTTCTTGTTGAGTGGGAAACCGTCAAGCAGATCCGAGGGTTCCGCTGAAGTTCTCACGCTTCAACTCTGCGGAAGGAGCGTCTCCGTCTCCGTAACCGTCACTGGGGCAGATCAGAAATCATTTGGAAGCGAGTGGCTTTGCCCTTTTGTAAGCTTCCCTTATCTGCCCGGGCCGATGGCAGGCGCTCTCCTCCTCCCCGAGGGCCCAGAGGAAGGCCCATTATCTGCGCTGCGCAGGCTGAACGCTGAGGGTGGGGTCGGGTCTGAGGAAGGCTTACTCTCCTGGCTCCGTAAGCCCAGCTTAACTCGACACGAACGTTTTGTATCTCCTAAGAAGTTCGGAAACTTATAAATAGCACCAGCGCTGGAACCGGGCATATCTGGGTTTGAATTTTAACTTCTGCTTAGCAACTGCTTGACCTTGAGCGTCTTATTTAATCCTCCTGAGCTGCCCCGTGACTCCCGCACGAAGAAGGGGAAGCCGCAGCCCTGAGAGCAGGCACCGGGAACGCCCGCCGTCTGCAGCGCCAGGTGCCCGGCGCCAGCCCCCGGCCCCTCCGGCCCCGGCATGCTCGTCTGCTCGCGGCCCTGCGGAAGGGGTCAGCGAGCGAGGGCCTCACACAGCCCCCCTCCCAGCTGGCCGGACCCTGACGCCGCTGCCCGGACCCCAAAGGCCCAGGGGGCATTTCTCATTGGCAACACGGCTGAAGAAAGTACGCCCTTTTTGCACAATGGTTTTCTTAACTGGACCACACTCGCTCTTAGGTTTTCTCAGCAGAGTCTCCCAGCCAGTGCCCCAGGGAGCACGGCCGCAGAAGTGCACGCACACGCTAGAACCGTGCGAGCGCCCCCAGTGCCCGCGTGCGGAGGCCGAGGCACCATCGGGCACCGACGTCACCGAAGGCGTCATCTGAGCGACGCTCCAGTCGGGCTCCGCTCTGACCAGGTCTCGTTTCACTGCCGGCTTTGCCTCGCCGGCGACACTGGTGATGAGCCGTCTCATCAGAGCAGAGCAAACCGCGGGCGCAGGGGCCACTTCGCCCGCCACCGGGAACGTGGGGCCTGGGAAGGCGTCCTGCAGGCGGAGCAGGGCCAGCCGCCCCACGCTGTGTGGACGCGGACACGGACACGGCGGGGAACCCGAGGACACAGACACGGGGTGACGATGACGGTGGGAGCAGAGAGCGGGGCGGGGACGCAGGGAGGCGTGCCCGGGGCTGCTGGTGCCAGCTGCCAAGCCCTGGCGAACAGGGGGCTTGGCCCGAGGACGGGGGGGCGTGCCAGGCGTCCAAGGGACGGGGGAAGGCCCCCCCACCCCCGCTCACAGGGGCGCCGGCACAGGTGGAGGAGGGCAGGTCGGGGCGCGCCTGTGGCCGGGGGGAGCAGCCTGCGCAGCTGCCCCTCGGGAGAGGCGGTCGGCTCTGCACCATTCGGGGCTGCGGGGGGCTGCAGGGGGCTGTGGGGGGCTGAGGGTTCCCGGGGCTCCCTGCTACTCCGAACGTGCTGAGCGCTTCAGTGGAAACACACTGCCCGCCGCCAGGGGCTCTTTCCGCTTCAGTCGTCTCGTCGGGGTGCTTGTCCGGCTTCCCTCCAGTCTGCTGACTCGTGGGCGCCGCTGCTTCGTGGTCTCTCTGCCTCTGGCCGCAGGCGACACTGACGCCGTAGGATAATTCGAGTGCCCCCTCCTCTGAGTTTCCGGGAGGAAGAGCTCACCCAGAATTCACACTGTTCTCCCCTTAAATGCTTCACAAAAGGCCCGAGTGCAGGCACCGGGCTGGGGGTTTCCTCCACGGGGGTCTAGCCAAACCTCCTGCTCCCTCAGCGGGCACAGGGCCCCTCGGACTGTCCGTCTCCCGCTGAGGGGAGCCCCGCGGCGGGGAAGAGCGCGGCCTGACCCCGGCGTACAGACGGGCGTCCACTTCACCCAGTCTCTGTGCTCAGCCCTGGGGGAGTGCCCACGCAGTCGCGGAAGACCACTCCTGACCGCGGACAGACGGGCCCGGCGCCGGCTGCACGGGGAGGAGGAGAGAGGCCTTCCCGGGACCCTGCAGAAGCACACGCTCTCCCCCCACCCCTCGGAGGGCCTCCCCAGGGCGCTGTCACTGCTTCACCCGTTTCCATGACTACGCACTCCTGGCTGAGCTCACTTCCAACTCAACCGTGTCCTCCCTGTTTTGGGGAGAAGGGCAGCACAGGGCCCCCACTGCAGCCACACACACCCCTGGCTCCCACGGCTCCACGCCGCCCCCCCAGAGACCCCGGGACCGCAGCAGACGTGCCCTGGCACCGGGAGACGCGGCGGCACTTCAGCCGTGAGCCCCCACCTCCTCCACCGCCAGCAGACCACGGACAGACAGAGCTGCCCCACCTCCGCCTGGGGCTCGGCGCCTGTCCCCAGGAACACCCTGCCCGGCATCTGGACGTGGGACCCCACCCCAGTGCGAGCTCAGAAGGAACACGGGTTCTCCCCCAGCTCTCACTGTCCCCACTGCCCTGGCCAGAAGCCTGCAGGAACGGGGACAGCCCGTGCAGGTGGGGCGCTGAGCACCGTCCCCGCCCACGGAGCACACTCCGCGCACGCCGGCCCCTCCCCTCCCAGGCTCCCTGACGACATGCTGGTCAGGAGGGTCCCGCCACGGGGAGAGTGGCAGGAGTGTCGGTGTGGACGACGGGCACCGCGGGGCCCCGGGGCAGGGAGAACTGAGGGGCGGCCACGGCCCGCGGGGCCCAACCAGAGGCCCTGGACACGGCATGGAGAGATCGAGAGGCCTTCAGGGCTCTGTTTGCAGGTAAATTCCAGAGGGCGGAGGAGGGGAAGAGGGGTCACCGTGCAAGGGACAGGAACTGAGGGGCTCGGGTCGCGTCGCACCCCCTCCCGGAGCCCGGGTGCGATCGCTGGGTGGGGGGGGAGGCCGCCCGCTGAGAAGGCGGCCGTGAGCACCTGGAACAGCGGTGTACGCGCAAGAGCCTGCCGCCCCGGACAGACTCGGTCAGTCAGTAAACGGCAACCGCATTCACACACGTTTACAACATCCGTCCTTATCCACACGTTTGTGATCTTCTTTACGTTGAGCGTTGCAGCTCCCAACCGAGGAAAACTCCGGCCACAGCCACCGGCACCCGGCACCCGGCAGGGGCGAAGAAGCCTGCACTGTGAAGCCCGAGGCCCCAGGGAAGCTCAGTGATGGGCGGCTGTCGGCTCTACGGGGGTGCGGCTGCAGGTGCCGTGACGCCCAGGGCGCTGCGAGGACGCCACCTCTCCAGCTTGTCCGCCATCGCTCCCTGCCACAGACAGCCCTCCACCGGCGTCGAGCACCACCCGGAGCCCTGCTGGCGCCCTTGTCCACGCCTCCGCCCTCGCCCCTCTGGGGGGAGGGTCTCCCATACCCCTGCCCCCCCCCGGCTAACACAAGGCCTTCCACAGTGACCACGCTGGAGGGTGAACGTTCCTGGGGTGCAGAGCACCCAACTATACCACGTGCCTCTTCACCGCAGGGCCCCAAACGGAGAGGGCGTACCCCAAAGGCCCAACTCCTTGTAACCGGTGTGACCTCCTCCACCAGCATCAGCTCATTCCCTGCTGCCGGGACCACCCCCCGGACAGCGCCCCGTCCCTCCGCCACGCAGCCCCAGTCCCTGCAAACTCGCCCCACCGCTGACTCCGGACCGGCCTGGCCCCACTCTGCGGGTGGTCCTCGTCGGTCATCGCCCTCTGCAGGGCTGGCATCAGGGCTGGGGCAGCAGCCCACACCCCTGGGCCGGACAGCACGCTGCACTGGGGGTGGGCCAAGCGGCCTCGCTGCCTGCCCCCGCTGCTGGCTGCTGAGACCGTCGGGCCCCCCACTCTGCAGCGCCCCCCACTCTGCAGTGTCCCCTCACTCTGCAGCACCCCCCAACTCTGCAGCATCCCCCACTCTGCAGCCCAGACGGGCCAAGCCTTCCCTGTGCCAATGACCGACGCCCCGAGCTCTAGCTCAGACGCCCCGGAGCCCCACAGACGCAACCGCCTCTGCTCCCCGGAAATGCCGGGGTGCCTCCCCTTCGTGCCGACGCCCGCCTGCTGCCGTGCACCCTCCCAGCTTCCTGACTGCTCATACACTAACCAGCAGCAGGGAGCTGCCGCAGGAGCAAGAAAGGTTTACAGGACAAACATCTGAACCAAGGATCTTAATCCAGTAAGTACGTTTTTCAAACGAAGGAAGAGGCAGAAAATCTTCTACTTCGACCAGTGCACACCTGGATGGAACCCAGGCTTTCCCGGGACCTCGTGAAAAAGGAGGCGGCGACAGTGGGACACGACGCCCCCACCCCGAGACACGACAACTCAGGCCTCAGGCGGCCGCCCCCCAAAGCACGGCACAGACGGAGACGCTGAGACTCGGGGCACCCCCCCCAACACGACTCGGCCGCCCGAGGCACACGTCCGCCCCTTCCGAAAAGCGCCCAACGCCACCCCCCAGAGGGCGGGGCAGGAGCCCGGAGCGCCAGGCCGTGTGGCCGGCTGCACACGGGAACCGACTCACCTTCACGTGGCTCGGGTCCCCGGGCTTGCTGCCCTCGGGCGGATTCGCGGCCTTGCCGTCCACGCGCGGCCGGACGACCTGCCGGAAGGGACTGCACAGCGGGAAGCCGCTCACGCTGACCCCGTCTGCAAGGAAGGTGAGAGCAGGGGGTGTGAGGGGAGGTGGCTGGGTTTCTCAACGCGGGAGAGCCGTTCGAAACGGGAGTAACCGGGAGCGCCTCCTTCCCGCTCCGTCCTGTGCTGTGGCCCGGCCTGGCGTGTGCCCCGTGACGGCGCAGTCACCCCTGCTCTGGACAGCACGGCGAGCTGAGACACGGCCTGCCACCAGATGCCCCCGGAGGGGCCTGCACACTCCCGAAGAGCCGGCCGGAGGCTGAGCGTGTGAGCAGGTCCCCGTCGGGCACGCTCCCATCGTTAGCCACGGCGCACACACTGCCCGGCTGTGCCGGCTGCTGCCATGTTTCACGCGGCAGCTGAGAGGAAAGAGGTCAGCGCCCCGACCACACCGTCCGCGCAGCACGGGTCCTTCGGCTCCGGCGGCGGCGCGCCAGTTAGAAACCGCTGGGCTACGGGGTGTGCGGTCCAATGCAGCTGGAGACGGAAAGACGGGTGACGTATGGATGGCGGCGGGGCATGGGGGGGCGACTGCGGAGGACAAAAACGGGGGAAAACGGTAAAAACCGGCCGCCCAGAGCCTGGGAGGGAACAGCTCCCCGGCCGGGCGGGGGCGGGGGTGGAACGCCATGGTTCGGCCGGCTCTCCTGCCGGCACAGCCCCTCGCAGATAGACCGGGGAACAGACTGGAACAACAGTGAGGAGGAAAACAAGCCCAGAAAGCGACAGACAGAGGACGGCCGCCCGGTGGGAGGGGAGAGGGCCGGGCAGACGCAGGGTGTCGGAGTGGCCGGCGTCCGGGAGCGCATCGGGAGCTACACGGAGCCTCCGGGGAGGACTTCGTGGTTGCTGTTTGTAGCGCTCAACCTTCTACGAAGAGCGTCTTTGTGGGCAATTCGGAAACACACTTTGGGATACTGGAATAACGCCTCTCTCTTGAATTCAGCGCGACCATGGTGACAGGGGGGCGGGGGGGCCTTAGGGGAGCATGAGAGCCGAGGGAGGAACACACAGTCACAATGAGGACGGCTCTGCCAGGAGGGCTGACAGCCGAGTGTTTACTACGTGCGTGGCGCAGCCCCCGGCCCTCGGGGCGTGCCATCTAGCTGGCCCTCGCCCCCCCCCAACCGCAAGGCAGGCGTCATTTCAAAGCCGAGCACACGGACGAGGAGACTGAGACGCCGGGGAGGCGGGCAGACGGCGCGGTTCGGCAGAAGCAGTGCCAGGATGAGAGCTCAGCGCGGCCAGGTCCGCGACTACCCAGGGGGACTGGGACCCAGAGCACACGTCCGTCCTCACGGGAGCTTCCACGAAGCCCCTGCCCACCCCGGCCAGGCCCCATGCAGAGCCCCAGGCATCACACGGGCCCGCAGGGCGCAGACTCCCCCTCCGGTGACGGCTCTCTCGCAGAGCGAGAGCAGAGGAGGGACAGGGAGTTTCTCGAGACAGTGAGGAGACAGAGACGCCTGCGCCGACGGTGCCCAGGCCCAGCTGCACTCACGGGCACTCTCAAACCCCGACGCCCAGGTCACAGGCCATGGCAGTGAACCCCAAGGTCCAGCGCTGGGAGCTGCACGGACTTCTCAAGGACCCCAGGAGGTCCCCAGGCACGGAGAAGTTTGAGAGCCACTGGCCTGTGCTCACGGGCAGCAGAGGGGGCCCGGCCACTCGGAGAGACACGAGTGATTCCGCCAGTGACCGGCGGGAGGGGTGGGAGCCTGCGTCTGCCCCGGAAGAGCAGAGAGACCGCAGCACGTGGAGGGCACCGGCGGGGGCCCACCACGGCCGGGGCCGAGGGCCGCCCCGGTCACTCACCGAAGCTCCACGGTGAGTTCTTGTAACAGAGTCTGCCGAGTGTCCCCAGCAGAACCCTTCAATGTCATGCGCCCCTAAAATGCATTTGCTCAGGCCCTAACCCCCACGAGACTGTACTTGGAGACGAGACCCGTGAGGAGGTAAGAAAGGTTAATGGGGCCGTAAGGAGGGGCCCATCGCCCCACTGGCCGGTGTCCCCTCAGAGCCACCGGAGCTCCCACTCTGCCGTGGGAGGGCGCCATGGCACCAGGCAGCCGTCTGCAGGTGGAGGAGGGAGGGCCCCGCCGACTCAGCCCGGCCGGCCCCGGCCGCCGGAACTGCGGGAAGCAAGCCCCCGCCGCGAAGCCACGCCATCCGCGGTCTGTCGTCATGGCGCTCCGCACTGCCGCGTGCGCCCCCGAAGCCTCCAGACGAACGTGTGAATGCGCACTCTGTAGCTGCACGTGCTCACCCGTGAACTCTCACCCTTAATCAGCTCCTCCTGAGCACAAACTCCCACTCTCCCCAGCCTCCAATGCCTAACGGAAATGGCCAGACTCTGAAGGCGAACCTCACCGTCACCGCAAATCGGACCGCAGCAGGTGCACCTGGGAAGTGCAGTCGTGCCCTCATCCCGCCCATTTAGGTGACCTCCCGACGAATGAGCACAGAACAGCGGAGGGAGTGAACGGGCAGCCGTCTAACTCAGAGGCACTCTATCACCCTCGGGCACACACAGCAGCCCCCTCGGGCGCCCGAGTGCCCGGGAGAAGCCCCCGGCAGCTGCGGTTAACGAGCGGCGAGCGAAGAGGGAGCGGCGGGCGCAGCACAGGCCGCGGAGCCTCTGGGGACCGCGCGCGCTGACTAAGACCGGGAAGAGCTCACCATCGCTGAGGTCTTGGAGGAGGTTCTCCTGGCAGGAGAAGTCCAGCTTCGCCTTGATGTCGACGGTGAACGTGGCCACCTTGCCGGGCTGCAGCGGAAACTGGGCGAGGGTTTCTTCCAGTTTCCAGCTCAGGAAGTCGCCGTACAGCTTCTCTGCAAGGACAGTGACAACGGGGGTGACGGTGGTGTGACGGAGGTGATGTGAGGTATCACCAGCCACCCCAGGAAGTTTGGTGCGTTCTCAAAACGCCGAGAAAAACACCAACAACTGCCAAGTGACGAGTTCAGAGTACCAAGAAAGCCCCAGAACCCTGGGTGTCATGAGGCAACCACCTGTGTCTCGGGCGTGGGCCCCAGGGGCTGAGCCCACTCAGGAAGCACCAGCCGGCCGGTCTGCGGGGCGGGCCCCAGGTGTGCGTGCCCCTGAGCCTGAGAACGTCCTCCTCATTCATTCATTCGTTCACTCACTCGAGAGCGTTTCCCTTGGGCCCACGAGTGGGAAGAGCCCGAGACACCAGGACGCGTTCCTGCTCCGTTCCCGCCCCGTGTGCGCACTCTTCTCGCGTAATCAGAACGCCAACTTCACAGTGGCGGCGAGGAAAGAGGACAGACAGACATCGCTGAGGCCAAGCCAGCCGCAGCCCCTACCTTTGGTGGTGAGGACTCTGGAGGTGACCTCCAGCTTCTCCAGCGGCTCCATCCCGATGTTCTCCAGGGTGATGACCAGCTGCTGGGTCTCCCCGTTGTAGAGCTGGACAGACACGTTCGTAGACACCTCGTCCCCCGAGGAGGGCTGCAGGGCATGTGCCGACCTGAGAAAACGGAACGGCAACAACACACTTTACAGAGAAAGGGGAAAAGACAACCAATGGCATCTTCGAGTCGGCTACATCACCACGCTTTGAAGTTTCAGAAGGGGGGGCTAGGAACCTTGGCTTTGAACATGGGATTCGATACCAGCTACCGGGAACATGAGGGTGGACTGCCACCGGGGACCGGGGCGGCCGGAGCTCCGCTCACGGGCCCCGCGGACAGCTCCGCACCCCCACACGAGCTGGTCCGAGGGACTGGAAGAAGGTCCAGACGGCGCTGGCCTCACCCCTCTGCCGTGCAGGGCAGGAGCCGACGAGTAAACGCCAGGCTCAGGGAGCCAGTCGTACCCGGGCCAGGGCCGCAGTTCCAGGCTCAGAGAGCAGATCTGCTGTTTATGTCAACGTTCTCTTCTCAAAGTACTACACTTCCGGCTCGCACACTTGGCTCTGCAACCCCTCCCGGGTTCGTTTCTTCCGCGTTTCATTTTACTCCCCGGTCACCTGATACTTCCCCGGCACCCGGTGCCGTCAGCAGGTGGCACCTGCACCGCACTGAGCGCCTACCTGGGCAGAGACGTGCTGATCTGCAGCCTGGGCAGGGCGGGGACCACCTCGACCGCGCAGCCGCTGGTCTTCACCCCCGGGAGGTGGTCCAGCAGGCAGTCGCTGAAGACGCCGAACACGGTGGTGTGGTAACCTGGGAAACAGGGGGAGAGGCTTCGCACGGCGGGGCGGCTGGGAGCCTCACGCCCACGCCGGAGGACAGGCCCCAGCAGCAAGAAGAGTCTGGGGTCCCCGTCCGAGGACCCGAGGTGAGAGTCAGGCCCGCCACACGGCAGGCCCCAGGCTCAGCCCTGCAGACCCTCGGTTTCCTCCCACGGAGCGTGGAGCCGACCACGGCACCTGCATTCCTACCCCACGGGCTTCCTGCGCCAGGGGGAGAACGGCACATGAGAGTCTCTGTCGACTGGAAGTCCCCGCACCACCTGGTAGTTCCAGCGCCTCCCTCCACTGGCATGCTTTGCAGACGTATTTATTGCTAAATGCGGACGAGGCCAGTGCTCCTTCGCAGGACACAATGCGACTTAAGTATCAGAAAAACGACTCGAAATCCTCCGTTGAGGTGAAAGTTCGAGAGCCAGTTCTCGTCATTACCACGGCCACGTGACGTAGCAAACCGGCCGCATGTGCACGAGGCCTGTGACTTAGGAGCAGCCACTCTTCCACGCACAAAGGAAGAAAGCGCCCCGGGTTAGAGGCGCACTTGGAACGGCTCGAGCAGAGCCGCGAACGGCGTGTGAACCTCTGAGAGCAGCTCTGCAAGCAGCCCTCGCCGCGGGCCAGGAGGGAACGGCACCCAGAGGCGGGGACTGCGAGGCCCGGTGACCTGGCAGGACAGCGGCGAGGCGGGATGGACGGACGGCCGCCCCACCCGTCCTGAGGCAGAGAGGAACCCCCTTACCGTTCACGGTGATCGTGCCCGTTGTCTGGGGGACCCCGACGAGCGTCACCGGGTAAAGCCCAGACTCGGCCGGCAGCGACAGGGCCGCAGGGAGAGACTCGAACTCCACTCCGCTCGTGAGCAGCCCCTAGGACGAGCAACGGGCCGCGTGAGCAAGCGCAGCCCAGGCCCTCCCCGGGACGGCCGCTCGCAGGCCAGCGCCGGGGCCGCCGGGACGCAGTGACGCCTGTGGAGCCCAGGGAACTGCGGACACGGGCTGGACGCGCGGCTCACGAGACAGCCTTGAAACGGGACGCACGGGGTGCTCAGGCGAGTCCATCTTGACGTCAGCCCTGACGGCTGCGTTTTGGGCATTTGTTTGGTTTCGTTGTTTTACCGGAATGGGAATGAAAACAAAAAAGACAGACACGAAGTGTGGAAATACGCCATTGTCAATATCCCTCCGATGCACCTGTGAACCATCGACTCATTTTGGCAAGTAGCAGGTGCCGTGCTGGACCGTGAAGGAGACAGGGTCCAGGCCCCACGCGGCCGCCTCATCACGGGAAACGATGCAGGATGGACGGCTCGGGAGTTCCCGACAGGGTAACAGGCCGCTAATGTGCTGCCCGGGGCAGCAAGGCAGGAAAAAGAAACAAAGGCATGGAGACAGCTGTCCACGAAAGACACAACCGTGACCAGGGAAGACCCTCCTGAGCCCTGGCTGGTGTGGCTCCGTTGGATGGAGCGTCATCCCACAGACAGAAAGGTCACGGGTTTGATTCCCACTCAGGGCACGGACCCAGGAGGCAGACTCAGTCCCCGGTTGGGACACACATGAGAAGGCAACCGATCGATGTTTCTCTCTCTCCCGCCTCACCTTCCTTTCCTCGCTAAAAGCAATAGAAAAATATCCTCAGACGAGGATAAAAATATTAAAACACGATGGACTCTACAGTGGAATTTAAATTAACACGTGCATTTAGCAAAGTGGCAGGGTCAGCATTACAAAACAACAGCAGGTATTTCCGTAAGACTCCAGCAAGAACCGTTGACAGTATGAGGCGGATGCCCACTCGGGAGGAAAGGACGCAGACGCGGCGTGGAGGGAGGCGAGAGAGAGCCGGCGGGGCCGGATTAGAACGGGGGGCACCTCTGAGAGGCTGGGGTCTGTAAAACCGGTGTCTGGGCTGTGTGCAGGGGCGTGCGTCTAGATACACGTGTGCAGACGCATGTGTGCAGGTCCACACGGACGTGCACGGCTGCATGTGTACACAAGCGCAAGTTCCCTGTCTGCAGAAAGCACCCCGGGCGACGCCCCCGTGGCGGCCAGCACACCCGGGCCGGGTGTGGGCAGGAGCGGGAGACGCTCGGTCTCACTGTGCGCGGGTGAGGGCGGGCGTCGGGCGCGGGAGTGGGAACCGAACCCGGCCCGAGGCCTGCTGTCTCTGGGCGAGACACGGCGGCATGTTCTTTCTGGTTAAAACAGCGCAGGTGCGGCCCACGGTTAACACTGTCTAAGTGTGAGTGGGAGATCCATGAGCGCTCATCATGTCGGATGCCTGACATTGTTTCTTTAATGTCATGAGATTTTAAATCCTGACCATGATTTCTGGGGCTCTTAGTGGTGATTTTTGTTTTATTTTTTGTTCTAATTTTTGACAAGAAGCATATATATTACTTCTTTTTTCAAACCAAATAAAAATGAAAGCTCCTTTTTAAAGACAAAAGGCATCTGACACTTCAAGCACGTGGGGACGACCCTCCGAACAACCGCCATCCATCCCGTCCAGGCCGAGAGACGGAGCGTCCCTGGACGGCCCGGCCGAGAGCCGGGCGCGCGGCCCGCAGGCTGCTGGGGCCGCCGGCTTCACCCGCGGCGGGCTGCCTGGAGACCCGGGTGCTAGAGAACCGTGCCGCGTGCCGGACGCCCTACCTCCCTCCCGGGCCGCCCGGTGAGCTCTGGCTCGTCACGCCCCCCAGCTGCGCGACGTGACCGTTTCGAGTCTCAGCCCGCCAGCTGAGCTCCGCGCGCGGCCCTCGGGGGGTCTCTGTCCGGGGACTCGGGGGTCCCGGACACCAAAGCCCCGGGCACGACGAGGTGTGCTCCTCACTCACAAGAAGCTCCTAGTCCTCGGCAAAACAAACACAAAAACAGACGTCCCGCAGGGCGCGTGCCTCGAGCGGTGAGTGAAACACGCACTTTGACGGCAAGCCGGCCCGGAGCCCCGGAGGCCGGACGCCCGGGGATACGCACCATGTTTTCGACGCGGAGCTCGAACGGCATCGGGTTGTACACCATCAGCTGGACCTCGCACACGTCCCCTTGGACCCACTGGAAGTCTGCAAACACACACACGTGCGCGCGAGCGTGAGAGCCCGCGCGCTGGCCGGTCGGGCTCCACGGTTCACGTGCTGCTTCAGGTGAGTCCTCATGCTTCCCGTGACGCGGGGCGTCACGTCATCAAGAGAGAAATGGTTCCCGCTGGCTCTCCGCCAGCCTTCTCTCGCGCACAGAGCAAGCCCCTGCCGCCCCTGCCGCCGCCGCCGCCGGGACGCTCGGCGACAACTGTCCCTGCCACCTTCGGTGGCCGATGGACGCCGCCGAGCCGGATCCGGTTCCATCAAACCAAAGCCCGCCCAGACAGCGCCGTGCCTGGCGTGGAGCCAGAGGCCGCCCGGACCCCCACGGGCCCAGAGGGGGCGTGGTCGGTTCCGACTGGCACGTCCCAGCTGATGAGCATGTCGCCAGGAAGAGCGTAAATTAACGTGACAGCACATAAAAAGACAGAAGCCACAGAATATAAATCACACTTTCCTGCCCCGGGTGCTCAGCGACTAACACGCATTTTGGCTGACGCTCCCGTTACATCCCAGGAAAGCCCTGCGTCACCCACGGAATGTGCCCTGGGCCCTGCAGCCACCCGGCCCCAGGCCCCGAGGGCCCCCGTTTGCCCTTATCCCCCAGCCCACCCTGGGCCTAAGGCAGCCCTTCACCTTCCCTGACCTCTCAGAGGTCGGGTCAAGCCTTGGACAACCACTCTGCTCTCCACTTAGAGCCTCCGGTCGTCCGCGTAAGTCTCAGCTAAAAGATGTCTTCCGGCTTCCGTCACTTAACAGAAACACCGCCTCTTGTACACCAGATCTGTGAAACCCAGACCCACAGCAAGCGCCCCACGGCGGCAGCAAGCTGGACCGGCTGGGCGGGGGGCCTGCCCGGTACGAGGGGGGGGGGGGTGCACGCGGGAAAGCGCGCCAGAGAGCCAGGCTGGGCGGCCCTACCGATCTTCTTGCTCCGCTCCTCCCCGCGGCTGTGGGCGATGATGGGCGAGTAGATGAACGGGCTCTTGGTGGACACGCTCTGACCCAGCAAGCTTTTCATTTTCTGTGGCCGGAGGCTGGCAGGGAGGTTCAGCAGTTTCACGCGCCTGCAGTTTCAAACGGAACAAAAATACATCAACCGCCTTGTTAGCTTGGCTTCGGCAGAAACGTCGCGTCACAGCCCGTGCTGGGGAGACAGGGCACCGGACAGCAGGGGAGCCAGGGGAGGGGAGCAGCACTCGAAGGCGGCAGACCCAGCAGCACACAGGTCCCGGCAGCGGTGGCTGGCGCAGTCAGGGACATGGTGGGGCCCCATCCAGCTGGTTCCATTCGGCACTGAAACCAGGACCCGCAGGGGCGCCTGCCCTCGCGGAGCCCCTCCCCCCGTGACCCGTGCGTGGAGGCGGGCCTCGCCTCGCCCAGGGAGAGCAGGCACCGCAGGCCCAGAGAAGGGACAGAGCTCAACCAGCATCACTCGGTTGACTGCCCAGACAAGATCGAGACGCAAGACCGCTGACCAAAACCCCCGGTGCTCCCAGCTCCACAGAGGTGAGCACCCCTGGTGGAGCTGGCACGAACCAGAGCCGCCCGCACTCCCCGGCCCCTGCCCTGCCCTGCCCCTCTCCGACACCGGAAGGACCGCCCCGCACCATGCCCCTCACTCGGGCCGTGGCCAAGAGGGCTCAGGGGGTACACGGCGCAGCCGCTCTGGAAGGATGACCCACGGCGGGACTCGGGGCCACCGCGGCACCTGCTGGGGCCCAGGGACAGCGGCTGAGCCCAAGCACTCGAGGACGCTCTGCACCTCCTCAGGTGGTGCCCTGATCAGGTCACACCACCTCTGGGAACGGTGACAGGGCCAGGGCCCGCGGTTTCCTGTTAGTCCCCACATGGAGCTTTCAGAAACCCCGGAATCACTTCACGAGGGCTGCTCCTGAACTAATTTCCCGGCGTGCATTCGGTACGTGCCACGGGGCCCGCTCGCTGCAGCCAGACGGGCTGCGGAGGGACACGGTCAGTCGGGCGACGGTCAGGCCCCAGGGCTGTGCACAGCTCAAAGGCTAAGAGGGGCGCCCGGGTGCCGCGGAAACCCCGGGGGCTCTCCGGCCAAGGGCTGGGGGCCAGGCCGACGCAGAAGTGCAGGAAAATCCCCCTAAAGGTGGACGTGGGACGGGTCTCAAAGAACAAGTCAAGTCGGGGAGGAGAGATGAATTCTGGGGGGGAGGGGGCGCGGGCAGTGCGTGAGCAGAGGCGGCCAAACGCGTGGTATGTCCGAGGGGCACCCCATTCCTCGGTCGCACGGCCACACAGGCTCAGAGCACGGGAAACTTCTGGAAGCATGCGAACAGGAGGGACAGCCCAGGCTCGTGAGAGGGCAGGGGAGTGGTCCAGGCCCAGGCAGACGTGACCGGCATCTGGCTCTGCCACAGGACAGCTCGGCAGCCACGGCAGCGCGGAGAGTCACGGCAGCGTGCCCCTCCCTCCAGCCACAGAGGACCCACCCGCACCCGCCAGGCCCCCCGGGGGGGCTGCACAGGGCAGCGGGCAGACACGCGGCCGGCGACAAATGGAGACTCTTCCAGGGCCCCCCGTGCCCGCACTCAGACGGGAGGACGGCGTCCCGGCGTGACCGGCACTGCCCACGCCCAGGCAGCCCGTCTCACCTGACAATGGGCAGCTTGGTGAGGGGCACGGGCGGCAGGGCGAGGCCGTCGGGCAGGGTGATGAGCTCCATCGTGCCTGGGCACTTGGAGGTGGAGCTCTCCAGGCTCTGAGTCACGTCCTTCTTCTCTGCAAACGAAGACAGGATAACGGTTGGTTAGACCAGAGTGGAGGTGGGGATGTTTTACTTTATTTTATTTTAGAAAAAGTAAAATCCCTAAGCTGATCCCCAACACCCCAATACGTCCGGTCTTCTGGCAGCAATAAAGGGGCAGCGACCGCCAGAGACCAGAAGGAAGGGGAAGCTTTACTCGATTTATTTGAATAATCACCAGCAGCCGCTCCGTTTAAGGGCCTGTGGATAGGAAAGAGATTAAGTTACTAGCTTCTAGGAGATTTCATTTCCCAAGAAAACAAATCCGCCCTAAGTCCCACGGAAGTAAGTCCGTAGGCAGGCAGGACGCAGGGCCAGGACACCTTCATCCTTCAGGAATATGCCCCGCCCACCACCAGGCACAAAGCCAACGGCCAGGCCCCACCCAAGGCGTCTGCAGTCCAGCCGCACGAAGACATTTGTGAGAACAGTTACAAGTCCACATCCTGGGTGCCACAGAGAGCCCCGGGAGGAGACTGTGTTCCCCGCCCCACCCCGTCCCTTCTTCGAGGAGGGAGGAGAAGAGGACGCAGGTGGCCAGAGGCGGCGCTGGCTCAGGCCTTCGACGAGCTGCAGACACCTGCCCGCAGACCCCACCTCCGCAGGCAGCCCTGCGGCGGCGCACGCCCCGGCTCTGACCCCTGCGGTAACCCAGGCAGGCAGGCAGGCGCCCCTGCAGCAGATGATGACACTGAGACCCCAGTGATGTCAGACGGGGCGTCGGAGCCCCTGCGTTTGGCCCTAAGTCTGCGGCCTCGTCACCACACTGTTTAGGGGAGTATGAGGGGACTGAATGGTAATGGAAAAAAAATACAATAAAGATTCAGTTTATTTAATCTTTAAAAGGAAAACAAAAAAAAAGGAAGAAACTAGTGGACACGGGCACCGGCCAACAAGAAGTTCAGAGCTGGGTGGGAACCGAGACGGGGGCAGCCGGCACCCAGAGGCATACACAGCACGCGCCGGCAGGTGCGCGCACACTGGGCCGCCTTGGAGAGCATTGATATGTACCTGCGGGGGGTGGGGGGGGCGGCAGGACACGGCCGCCAGCCCCGCTGCGGGAAGAGCGCTCGGTCCCCGGGGCACGGTCTCTCCTCTCCGAGCTCACACCACCCTCAGCCGGGCTGGGCCGTCCACCCGGGCTCCTCTGGGCCCGTGCTGTCCCCACCGCACACGGGGGGTGGGGGGCTGGCTTCCCCGGCTCGAACGTGCCCATGCTACAGACAGGGAACCGGAGGCTCCCAGAGGTCACATGGGCTTTCCTGGGGCCACTCCGGCCGTGACTGGCTAACCTGCGTCCGTGCGGAGACCTACCAGCTCGCACTGCCCACTCACAGCGCCCCCAACTGTGGAAACACGGAAGGGAACACAGACAGCTGGAGACCCAGTGTTCAGCCCGGTAACCATCTGACACAGCAAGAAAAACCAACTCAGCTCGCCCTCACTCTGCACACACTCGACCAGCCACACCGGCAGGCGAGGACAGAGCCCTGGCCATCCCTGGGACAGGACCCCGGAGCCCGTCCCTAAGAGGACGGGCCCGCTGACACTCACTGAGAGCCCCCTGGCTGCCCGCGGCACCATCGCTCTCCTGTGTGTCTCGAGTGACTCGCACAGCGCCACCCGGAGGCCTGGTAAGCAGTCACTGGAGCGCACCCCGAGATTAAACACGCCCCTTGTCCTCCGCCGGCGTGCAGCTGCCCCACCTGGAGGAGAGGCAGCTGGTTCAGGGCCTCCGCTCACTGTAGGTAAAGCGCTGCCTGGGAAATGTGGAGACATCTCTAGAGATCTGAACATCACACCCCGAAGGGGAAGTTATCAGAAGAAGGAAAACTTAATACGTAATTAGAACGAATCTGCATATCCAATTAGGAAGTGATGGCGAGATAAGATATGGCGCAGTGACAGAATGCAAATGGGCGCAGCCTTGGAAATGACATTGATAAAGAGTCTGCAATAACAGGAAAACGTCTGTGATGCTCTGCAGAGAATCAGGATGCAAAATTGTATTTATGAAATAAACCCAATTTTAAAATAACCCAATTTTTAAAAGAACATAAAACTATGCTGAAGAATCCCCATTCGAACTGCACCACAGCCTCAGACCCACTGTTTTCGAGCTGCGGGTCGGAGATGGGAGAGGAGGACGGCGGGGGCTGCTCCAGCCCCTGCCCAGCCCCTGCCCAGCCCGTCCACCGCGCATCTGGGCAGGCCGCACAGAACACAACGCAGAACGTCGTTCCTGGTAGTGAGGCAGGAAGTATCACATGTGATGGGGGGGGGGGGGAGAGACAGGAAACAGAAAAGGAAACGAGGAAATAAAAGAAAAGGGAGAAAGCTTTTCTCGACGGGGTATCTCCCGCTCCTGAAGCGGACAATGGTTCAAACCTGCCCGTCGGGTCCGGCTGTCCCGGCTGAAGGGCCAGCCCCAGAACCCCTTCCCCGCTCGGCTCCGAGACGGAGCCCGTGGGCCCTGGAGACGCAGGGAGGAGCAGCCCAGGTGCTCAGACATCGCAGGAAGGGCGGCACCCCACCCGCCTCCCCAGCTCCTGCCGGGGTGCTGCCCAGCCGCCCCACTCCTGGCCCAGGGGGTGCGGTGGCAAAGGGCACCAGCCTCTCCTGCAGGAACCCCGTCACCGAGGTCAGGGAACGGGAGCGGCTGAGGAGCCGGCTGGCCGGCCGGGTCCACCCCTTCCCTGTGGCATCTGGCTCGTGCTGGAGGGCTCCATCCAGCTTGTCCTCGCTGCCTTCCTCCCGCCGTCCCTGCCCAACGCGCAGCCAGAAGCTGTGGAGGGCCCCGGGGGAGGGGGGGGGGGGGTTGTGAGGCCCGGGCTGGAACGCGCTCCCAGGCTGACTCACAGATCACGCGTGCGCAGGGGCACGTGCGGGCACCCACCGAGAACTCCCCGTGGCCAAACCGCAGACAGGCCCCTGTGCGCCCTCCGTGTGACAGGGCCCTGCCCTCGCCAGGTCAGTTTAGCCAGAGCTGCTCACCGCCCCCCACCCGACCCCCCACAGCTCCTGGGCCCCGCCCTGGAGGGGGAGCCCCTGGCCGGCCTCCGCCAGGACCCTTTCAGGCCCTGGAGGCCGGGACCCCTGCCCCTGCCGTCTCCTCTCGTCGCCTCCCACCCGCGGCGGCTCCGTCCCTCCCTCTGCTGCCCGGGGCGCTCCAAGTCCCTGCGGCACTCGGGGGCGGAGCCGCATCCCTGTCCCCTGCGGCTACGGTCTAGGAGCCGGCTCCCTCGCCACGCTGACCGGTGCGGGAGGGTCTCCCCTGCGGCGGCACCTAGGTCAACACCACGCACGCACGCACGCACGCACGCGTCCCGAACCCCGACGGATACGGCGGTTCATGCAACCTTGTCATCTTCTTCAACGTGGCCCTGCTCCCCTTGCGTAAGCAAATCCCTCCGCAGTGGAGGTGGCGTCCCAGCTTCCCTTCCCTCCCGAAGGGTGAGACCCGTCGTGGGCCCCCCGCCCCCCGCCCCGGAGGACTCGGTCTCCTCCCCTCTGCCAGTCCGGAAAACCGCGCCCATCCGTGACGCGGCAGCAGGAGGGCCGGCCGCGCTGTAACTTCTCCGTCGCCCCATTGTTTAAACGTGAACAAGTGGCAGGGTCGTCTCAGGTGCAACGCTGTTGGAATGTACCTTCCAAGCACGCTCTCCGAAGGTAATGCTCCGCAACGCCAAAGGGGCTGCTTAGAGTTCCCGCAACAGTTTCACATTTCAAGTTCGGCTAAGGAGACCTGCCATACAAGGTTCCAAGGAGACGTTCCCGATCGATCCCTGCAGCTTCGTTCCAGGAACAAGGGAAGCACTCTGCTGAAGCGCCCTACCCCCCGCGGCCCAGGGCGTGGTTTACGCTAGCTGCGTGCACGGCCTTTGGACGGGGCTGAACACTGCGGTCTAGACCCGGCTTTGCCCGGAGTAACTAAGGAGCCTTCGGGGAAACTACGCAATTAGCAACTCAAAACGTCACTGGCGTGGCCGGCACAGTGGCCAGGGCACCATCTGCCCTCCTGACCCACACATGTGAGGCACAAGGCGGGAAGACCATAGGAGAGTTTCACGTAAAAGAGATATAATTAGTAAACAAACACAGGAGGAAAAATACCCAGCCTTGCAAGTTACCGAGAAGATACAAATTAAAACAGCAAGGCAACACTGCATACACACTGTTGAATTAGCGGCACTGCTGCAGGCGGTGTCATTAGAACCATCCTTCCGCGAGGCAATTCGGGGACAGGTTTCGGCAGCATTAAACATGCTCGCAGCGCTGACCCGGTAAACCCTCCCCCGACAAAACCTCTCTCCCGCTCAGAGAGATGAAGACCTGAATGTTCACCATGGCATTACAAGTAACAGCAAAAACAAACCAAAAAGAGAAAGAAAGAACATTTTTTAAAAAGTATTTAGGGCCCTGGCTGGTGTAGCTCAGTGGATTGAGTGCGGGCTTTGAACCAAAGGGTCACAGGTTTGATTCCCAGTCAGGGCACACGCCTGGGTTGCAGGCCAAGTCCCCAGTGGGGGCCACATGAGAAGCAACCACACATGATGTTTCTTGTCTTCTCTTTCTCCTTCCCTTACCCTCTCTCTAAAAATAAATAAATAAATACATTTTTTAAAGTATTTAGGCCCTGGCCAGTGTGGCTCAGGTGGTTGGAGCGTCATCCATAACCAAAAGGCTGTGGGTTCGATTCCCGGTCAGGGCATGTCCCTAGGTTGGGAGTTCGATCCCTGGTCCAGGCGCACAGGTCCCTGGTCCAGGTGCGCACGGGAGGCAACCGATTGATGCTTCTCTCTCTCGCATCAATGTTTCCCTCTCTCCCTTCCTCTCTCTGAAAGCAATGAAAAGATGTTCTCGGGTGAGGATGAAAAGTAAAAGTAAAAAATAAGTATTTATTATTAACACATCGAGCGAGACGTGAGCGCCCACGTGAGCTGCCATGCAGCTCTAGGGGCAGGGTTTCTCTCTGAGGCCATCGAAGGGTTTTAGAGTCGGCTGTGGTGCCAGGTGCGCCACCTGTGAACGTCCTAAAAAACAGGTGTGCGTGTTAAACAGGTAATTTTGCATGGTGCGGAACTGAATCTCAATCAAGCTGTGTCTCGGAAGGAAAACCTGCTGCCCGCGCACTCCGAGAACAGCCCGCGCACGCCGGGACAGGCCCTGGGTGGCGGGGACGGGGCGGGCGGGCGGGGCGCGCGCCTTGGAGAGCCTGCCGCTCCGCGGGAGCCTGGGACGGAACGAGCGCTCAGAACCTCCTGGGCGAAAAGCGCTACAGCGGGCAAGCTCCGTACCCAGGGGACACTTCAGAAGAACACAAGCCAGTCTGGAGCGCCCAAGAGAGGCGTCCTCGGGAAAATGAACGTGGCCTGCGTGGCCTGAAGGCTGAGACGTGGCGGCTGGAGACTCGTGGGCCCAGTGGAGGAGGGCCGGAACGGAGGGGGGAAGCAGAGGAGGGGAGCGGGGGCGGGACGCCGGATGTCTGTCTGTCCGTCCGTCCAGCAGTCGGGCACGTCACATCGCGCTGCTCCCGTTGGGGGCCATCACGCACGAGGCTGCTGGGAACTCCGTGCGCGGGTTTCTGCGCGGACACGTGTTCAGTTCCCTTGCCTGCACGCCTGGGAGCGGGACTGCCGGGTCACGGCATGCAGCTGCCGCTCACCCCTCTGCTGCCCCAGACCCCGGACCCCGGGCCCCAGAACTGCCGCCGCACTCCTGCATCTCGCGTCCCCCAGACGGAGCGAATGCTCCGAAGGGGGAGCGAGACCCCCTTGGGAGGGCATGTAGCTCTGCCGCCCACAGAAGGGCCCCCCCACCTAACCCACAGTTAACTTCCGCGCAGCGATATTGAGAAGCGTGAACCATCAGCGCCATGAGAGGTGCCGCGAGCTCTCCGGAGGGCGCCCCCTACAGACTAGAGCACCTATCACTAGACTAACGACAAGCCACCGCCACACGTGGCCCCCCGGTCGTCCAAATGAGGAGGCAGAGGCCCGGGAGGAGCCCCGGTCTCGGTCTGAGGCTGTGGCGACCAGGGGTCGAGGTTCACGCCGAGGGCCCTTCAGGCCTCCCGACTGTCGTGCTCGTCTCAGAAGACCCCGAGCACCCAGGTGCCCACACGCGCGCGCACGCAGGCCTGCAAGGAGTCTGCAAGGGTCCGGCCGACAGCGCCGAGCGTCCCGGGCTCCTGCCCTCCGCACCCGAGTCGGCACCCCAGTCCTCAGATCTCTGACGGACGGAGCGCAGGCAGCCAGCACCTGCCTCTCGTGCTGCCCGTGAAGGGGAGACCGGCGCCGGCCGGGTGGCTCTTCCAGGTGAGGGGGAAGCGGAAGGGGGGTAACTAACCGGGGCTGGTCTCCCTGGGGACCGAGTGCAGACGCAGGGGGCCCCGGCAGCAGGCCGGCCGGTGGAGAGCACAGCAGCACGGCGTGGAGAGGGAGGGCCCAGGGGGCGGAGGCCCCGAAGCGCACGGTGGACACGGCGTCTTCTTCCCAGCCAGCCCCCGGGGGCGCGGCCCCCCACCCCTGAGCCCGGCGTGCAGGGGGGCTAGCGGCCGGAGCGCTCCCCTCCGTGCCGGCAGGACAGAACGAGGTCGCGAAGCCGCGGGCACTCACCTTGATCCGACAGGAAGTCCAGCATGGTCTGCAGGAGGAAGGACAGGTGCCGCACGGCCAGGGCGGGGTTCCCCATCCTCCGGGAGGCGTACACCAGCTCGTGGAGCAGGCGCATCTGCACGGCGGCCCAGCCTCGGTGTGTGCCTGCCGCCAAAGCCACAGAGCGTCAGCGCGGGGCCGCAGGCGGGGCGCGCGCACGCACGGGGCCGCAGCGCGGGGGCGCGCGCACGCACGAGGGGGTGTGGCCCTCGGGGGTGAGGGGGGAGCGGAGGTCCTGCGCCAGCACACCCACGGGGCCACCCTTTGTGAGCTCGTCCCGGAAAAGGTCTCCAAAGCGACACGCTTTCTTACCCAGTAAAACAAACTGAGTTTATAGTATACTTTCTCTCCTCTGCAAAGACACGATTGTTAAAATAACCCATTTTGAAATAATTATAACAAGGTTGGAAAGAGACAGTTTCCAATGGCATGTATTTGAGTTTTAGATATAATTTTTTTTCCACACAACACGGGCATTGACGGCCTTGTCACTAACAACCAAGGGTAGTAAACCCAAACGCACAGTGTTTCTCTGAAGCACAACAAGGCACAGAGAAGCAGGTGACTTAGAACAAAGGTTACCAGCAAACTTTTGGGTTGGTCCTCCCAAACGATTTAGCATGTCTGAAATTAAAGGTGGGAAATCATTTACACAGCCATCAAAAGTATCTGTTTAAGATCAAAGACCCTTAGGGGTGTTTATTCCACTCCCCTTTGGCAACAATCACTGATATTTTCCACTCAAAATCCTCCGTGGAGAAGACAGTGGTTGCAGCGACCCCTGGCAAACAGGTCGGCACAGTGCGGGGTGCCCGGGGGGGCCCAGGGGCTTGGCAGGGGGCTGGGCACAGGTTAGGGTTCCCATCAGAGGGTTCCTCCCCTGTCGCCCTCCCTGACCTGCCCCCACCCCGCCCCACTCGGCCGGCCTGGCCTTCTGTGCACGCCCACTGCCCCAGGCGTGCGGCGGCACCACCGGGGGAGCTGCCCAGCAGGCACAGGGAGGCGCCTGCGAACTCGTGGGTGTGCTTCCCAGCAGCCCTCAGCTTCCCGGGAGCCAGGCCCGTCCCACGCACCCAGCGCCCGCGGGAAGCCCGGTGAGACAAACGCCCACTTCCAGACAAGGCTCCTTAAACCTGCGGGGAAACGGCCCAGCTCCTGCGACTGGCTGTACGACCCTCGACACAGAACGAGGAAAAGGGGGAAGGCATGAACAAAGCAAGCACGGCACAAGGAGAGAAAGACAAGTCCCTGGACTGTTTCTGTACTGTCTACAGACGCTGCGGCCAGGAGCCAGAGCAGAGAAGGCAGTTCTAAAAGGATTAAGATGCTGAAATCAATGTCCAAACTATCCAACCAAGAGTTTAAAATGATCCAATTTAACTAATCTCAACAGGGCCAGGTGGAGAAGGCCTTCTCACTTTAGAAGCAGGCAAATATCACTTTGCTGATTTTCTTTTAAATAGACAATGATCCTCTTCCTACCACCGGCAATTATGAGTAAGGCTGAGTATAAATTTTCTTAACACTAAATCGTGTGGAAGTCATAATTTCCACGTGATTCAAACTGCTCCTCCTATAAAACCTAAATCACTTTATGTTTAAGACAGATTCCCAACACAGGACCCAGTGGTAAAATGTTTAACACTCTCGTATTCAGAAGTTCACCACTTTGAGAGTTGAGCGTATCGACCATTGCCTTTCAGCTCGCCCACCTGCCCCGGGTCAGAGTGCCCGGGGAAGTCAGTCCAGCGTCCGGGGAGAGTCCGACCCAACTCCGGCAGCACGGACACGAACACGCCGCCAGCCAGCCGCCCCGCGAGCGGGCGGGTGCACACGGGACACGTCTGCGCCCGGCGCCGACTTTTCTAACTGGACGATGGAAACATGCATTTCAAGGAATAGGCAGAAATACATTTCGGGTCCTGAGAATACATACAATCTACCTTCACTCACAGGTACAGGGCCTTAGTGGATTCCCGCTTAATCCTCCGAGAAGTGGCCCCAGTGCCGCGGGGATGGGGCGTGAGGGGACCCCTCTCCCCCCCCAGACACGCACCCCACCGCCCACCCGCCGCTTCTCCTGGGCCTGCTCTCCCTCCCCGGCGGCCTTGCCCGGCCTCCTTCCCAAAACGAGGGCGCAGGCCGCCTCCCGAGACAGAGGCTGAGTAACAGGCACCTAATGCCGCAGAGCTGTGCTCCTGGGCGTTGTTTTTCAAGAGAAACAAGTCCCACTCACCTGGTTCGAAAATCAGATCAGGAGACAAACTCTGTTCGGCAAACGTCACCCCACACGCCGCCGTGACCCGCCCCGATTTCATGTTGCCACGTGTTACGGGTCGTGGGGGCGACAGGGCAGAGCAGGGCCCATGAAGGGACGAGAGGGTCCCGCTGAGGCTGAGGACCGCCGAGGGCCCGCCCTGGAGGACTGGCCACCGGGGAGGCCTGACGGTCACGCTGGGAGTCACGCAGGGGCCAGCAGGAGAGTGTCCCCAGGAGAAGACGGGCCACCAGAGACCCCAACAGAGGGGCTCCTCGACACCATCCGCAGCGGCCCGGTCGGAGGGGAGCTGTGCAGCGGCCCCTGAGTAACTGCCCCCCGGCCCGGGGCCCGCCCTGCAGTCTCTCGGGGGGCGGGGACGGGGGGGTCCACTCCCAGCCCACACTCACCGTACCTCCCCTTCCTCCGCCCCAAACACGGCCCGTCCCGGGAAACGTCCCCGAGCAGCACGGCCTGGAGGCCGCCCCGTCCTGGCTCGTCCAACCTCGGCTCCCACATCCGGCAGCTCCCCGACCTCGAGTCACCCCACCGCAGCCTCCCGCAGCCCCCCGGCTCCTCCGGCCGCACCGGTCTTCAGGGTAACCTATGTGACCGCATGTGGCGCTGCGGGACGAGAGTCTAGCTGCCACCTCAGTCCTGTTCCTATCTAACGACTCCAGGTACGAACCAGAGAAAAGCGGTGGCACTTCCCACCCAACTCTGGGGCCAAAACAGGAGAAGCAACGCTTCCCCCGCCAACCACGCCCTGCCCGACACGGGGCGCGGACCCTGGGCACCGCTGCCCTGCAGCCACAGCCCCGCGTCGGACACGCACAGCCCCGCGTCAGCACTGCGGGGTGAGGGCAACCCCGCGCGCACACACCTGAGTGCACAGACGCACACACACGCACTCATTCCGGGCTGACTGCCTTCTGCGGACGCAGCTAACTCTCACGCAAGAAGTGGAACCCCTCGGGCGTGCAGGGGGTCTGTGGATGGCACACGATGTCAGTGGGCTGGGGAGACACGGATGCCAGCCCCGGGCAGCGCCCCACAGCCCGGGGGGTGTCATCCCGGCGCCTGACGCACCCAGGGCAGGGCAGGGCAGGGCAGGGCGCCGGCCGGCTGCGACCCCAGCGCCCGGCAGGTGGAGCCGGGGCGAGCGCCAGGCCAGGAGAACGGAGTGACGCGACCTCTCGGTTTCGGTGGCCGGGTGGCCGGGCGGCCGGTACCTTTGTTGAAGTCCTTGGGGTCCAGCGACAGGCTGTAGCCCGGCAGCGTCTCCAGGAGCAGCTTGTAGCAGGCCCTCCAGCCGGGCTCCGCGATGCTGGGCGCCACGCACTGCATGGCCGCCACGCGCTTGAAGAAGGCGGACTTGCGCCGGAAGCCGATCAGCTCGTAGAGCTCCGAGAGGATGCTGTAGCGCTGAATCTTCTCCTCCTCCGACAGCTGGGGCGCGGGGGGAGAGGAAGGCTTTGAGAGGCACGTAAAGGTGAAACATGGAAGCGCCTGCTCGTAAACAAAGGCGTGATGAAGCAGGAAGGCGCGGGGAAGCCGGCGACCGCAGGGGAGCGGACGCCGCCGGGAGGCAGCCTGCAGGGGAGCCCCCCTTCCGTGGGGGGGGCTCCAGCCCGTCCTCCCCTCCGCTAACACGGCCGCGCTCTCCTGAGCGAACACGTCGGCCGCACGGCACCCGGGCGGTGCCCGCGGCCCCTTCCGAGGAAAAGGGACACGCGTGCATCTAGACGCTGCGTGCACTCGGGCGGGAACTCCCACCGGAAACAAAACTTCTCCAGACAGAAAGCTCGGCCCCCGTAGCCCACAGCGAACTGCCAGTAACGGACCCAACTCCGACTCACGCCCCCGTGACGCCCCCACGGCGCCCCCACAGCGCCCCCATGGCGCACCAGCAATTTCCCGACCCCCGACCTACCCAGACCTCCCCACACCCCTCGGCGGAGGGGCAGCCTCTGCTTCTCGGGCACACGCTCCAGCCCAGCAAACCGTCACGACGGCCCTGGGGGCCGGGCACGGCCGGAGGAAACCGGAGCTCGGAGAGGATGACCCGCCTGGGCAGAGCCACGAGCCAGAAGCGCCGAGACCAGGCCCGAGCCGGGTCACCCAGAGAGGACGGCCAGAGCCCACACGCCCGCCTCTGGCTGCTGTTTATGGACGCGCTTCGCGCTGCCCTTGACCATCGGTCTGCTTTCCAGACAGTTCTGGGAGGCCGCGGGCACAATTTGGGAGCCCTGGCACCTGCTGCCCTCGGCCCCAGGGTGCGCTCTGGGGAGTTCAACGGCGACCCCGCCCATCCGTTTCCCACGCGAGAGGGAGTGTGGGCCCGCTCCCTCCCACTCGGAGGGAAGTGGCACGACGGTGGCAGGAAGCCGCAGACGCGGGAGGCCTCCTGGCCACGGACAGGACGGCGCAGGGAGGGGACGCGAACCACAGAGACCCAGGTCCAGCCCAAATCCGCACGTCGCTGGATCTGCCGCTGTCCTTCTCAGCGGGGGGTTTAGAAATCTAATGACCGCTTAGGATGAGTAAGTGAGACAACCTGTGCAGTCAGCACTGGCCCAGCACTCCCAGTGAGTGTTCGAGAAACGGGGACATCACTGCTAGTTCAGCCTCTGAAGGCCCAGCGCTAGCCCCGATCAGCCAGCCGGAGCCGCCCCGGAGGGCGCCCCAACGCCGCCCAACCAGCGAGACGCATCACCAGGGTGTCTCTGCTCCCCCCGACGATGGAGCCACTCGGGTGTCTGTCTCCTTCTCGAGGTAACACGATCCCACCAGAGCAGCCGGCCTAGGAACCCCCAGCTCTGCGGGCAGGTGGGTGCCTCCCTTCACAGAACTGACCCAGCGGGTGTCGGTTCTTCCCAGGCGCCCAGTGAGCACCTGCCGCCCCCACCGCCTAAGGCTCTAGCCGTGCAGAACCAAGTCTGCTTTGCCACCCACGGAAGCTTCTAGGGCCGACAGACCCCCACACAACGCCTGGCGCCCGGACGCCGGGAGGGAACGCGGAGGGAGGGGCGTCACGGCCAGCCTGCCTTCCAGGGCCCCTTTGCCCCCGACATGGTGGTCTGACTCCGGACCAGCCCCACAGCCCCTCTCTGCACTGGCCCCTCCTCTGTGGACAGGGCTGGCCGCCCTCGGCACTGGGGTCGGAAGGACCGGAGGACACCCCCAGATCCACGGCCCGGCCCGGTGCGCCGCCTGCTGCTCCCACATGGCACCCCCAGCAGTGTGTGAGCGCTCTGCGTGCCCACCACACCTTCAGAACGTGTCACGACCTGAAAACGTGAATGCTGTCGTTCCCAATTTACACACCCGCAACTCGCGAGGGGAGGTCACCTGCTGGTCCCCGGTCCCCTGCGGGGGGCGGGGCAACGGCGGTCCGAGCCTGCCTCGGGGGCCGACCCTGTGCCCTCTCTCGCTCCCTCCTCACCCTCCACTTGTGAAGGTCGAGTGCCGATGCTCGACTCCGCAGACGGCCAGCTCACGCGAACCGTGTGCTGCCCTCGGCCACGCCAGGCGAGGACCACAAACTCCTCCCGTAATCGGGAGAGCGGCCCTGCCGGCGCCCGTCCCTGCACACAGGGAAGGGGGTCCCGCCCCAAGCCCGCCGCCCTGCGGGCACCCCCCCACCACCCCAAACCCAAACACGTGATCCCTCCGACCCTGCGCTTGCACGGGGCTCCCTGAGGCAGACTCCGCCTGCGGGAGCCACATCGCAGGTCCCTGGTTCAGATTTCCCGCAGTAGCCGGACTCACCCCCGGGGGGAGGTACGGCCCATCCACTCCACAAAGGCGCTCACTCGGCCAAGAACGAAAAGCTGCCCTGGCTGGCGTAGCTCAGTGGATTGAGCGCAGGCTGCGAACCAAAGTGTCGCAGGTTCAATTCCCAGTCAGGGCACATGCCTGGGTTGCAGGCCACGACCCCCAGCAACCGCACACTGATGTTTCTCTCTCTCTTTCTCCCTCCCTTCCCTCTCTAAAAATAAAAAAAAGAACAAAAAACTGCTTCTACTCCAGGAGAGGCGCAGACCCCTCTTCTTCAGTGTTACGGAGTCCCACCAGAGCTCACTGTCCCGCGGTCTGCTCGTCGGGCAGGCACACGTCCAGCCGTCCAGCCGAGGGAACAAGGCCAGGAGCGGCGGGGCAACCCCAGCCACCGGCAGGGGCGCTGCCGAGCACCGGGGACGCCCCTCCGGCGTGCCTCTGCTGCCCCCTGGTGTTCCACGTGCGCACAGAGCCCACAGAGCAGGAGCGCTGCTCCCAGCGCAGCAAATTCCTCAGGTTTTATGTAAAAATCATCTTATTTCGTACATGCGTGTTCATATGCCCACCTGCGAAAACAGCGTCATGGCAAGCCCAAACCTTCCATGTTAATTGGCAAAGTAACGCCAGTCCTTAAGAGCACGCAAACCTCGAGACAACTCTTCCCCAGGCCCTCCCACTTGCAGCCCCCAGCCACACGGCCTGCCCGCAGGTCCCGGCTGCTGCAGGTCCCGTCCTCCGGGCCGATGTCCCTTTCAGAGGCCTGAGGCCCACCGCCCTCGGTCTGTTTCCCCGTACCCGAAGCTCCCACGGTCAGGGGCGGGCTTTGGCTTCTCCCGCCCACGTGTGTCGGAAACGTCTGGGCAAGACCAATGACCCTGTGGTAACCCTTTCCTGAGGACACACAGGCGCCCACGCCACAGACACGTTCGCTCGGGCGGACAGGTGCAACGTGACTCCTGGGCCCTCCCCCCGCCAGGGTGCAAGCCAGGAACCCCGCTGCGGTACAGGCGGAGTGCCAGTGACCACGCATGCAGCAGAGGCGCCCCAAGGCCCTGAGGGGCGGGGCCAAGGCCCTGAGGGGCAGTCCCCTCCGCCCCCCACCCACATCCCCGCCCACCCAACAGGGTGAGGCCCGAGGGTGGCCCAGCAGTCAGGGTCCAGGGCGCACCTGCTCGACCACTGTGCCCACACCTTCCTCTGTCCGCAGGCTGTGAGAGCAAACATGCTAAACACCCGAACACGCACAAGAAAGACACGCGTCCATGCTAGGCTCCTGCTCACCTGCTCCTACCTGCCACTTTAGTCCTACGTAAAACATAAAGAGCCTCTGCAGGCAACAGGGCAGAATGCATGTTGAATCTGGATGGCAGAGGCAAGGGTCTTCTCATTCATACACTTTTTTGCGTGTCCAAAAGATAAAAGAATGTTAAAGTCTCTCTCCCCCACCCCTACCCTCCCTCACCTAAGCCCTCCCCCCGCCAGGCCCACAAATCTGTCTCTTCATTACATCAGCCTCCCTCTGGGACCCCCCACCACACTCTCCCTCCTCAAAGCACACGTGACCGGCGTCCCCGGCGACCACCCGACTGACCCAGACAGAAACCTGGGAGCTGCCCCCTCCGCCCCTCCTCCACGCCGTGACCGACCCTTTCCTTCCCACGACCAGGACGTCTTTGCAATCTGTCCGCTATGTGTCCGCTGCCACCCGACCACTCCGGTGGGGACCACCATGCTGCGCGCCGGGACCCCTCCGGGTCTCCACACCGGCCCCCCGCCTCACGCTCACCCCACCCGAGACGAATGGGACCACATCACTCCCGTCACCCCTGTGCCCTTGAGACCTCTCTTTTAAAATCTGCCCTTCTTAGAATGAACTCCCAAGTCTCCGCCTGTCTGGGAAAGCCCCCCCACCCCACCCCCACTCACAGCGCAGTGCCCGGTTCCCTGAGGGCCTGGGGGGCCACCGCAACCTGCACTCTAACCCTAGGCTCGAGTCCTTACGCAAACCACTCGAGGTTTCCGTCTACACTGCCTCAGCCACAAGAACCCAAGTTAACTAAATGCTCACAACCTGCCTAGACCACCAATGTTGGAGTTTTGCCTTAGCAATCTGCAACAAAATGTCCTAATGGTTTCGTTTGACGAGAAACACACCTGGGTTTGACCTGGGCAGTGTTTGTGGAACGCTGGTGTGCAGAGGGAGCTCTACGGGGGACCTGCACAAGCTCACGTCTGTGAGTGTGACGACCCAGACAGGGTTACAAGCGCCGGTTGCTCCGCAGGTGACGAGGGTAACGTGGGCGGCATAAAGACTGTGCAGCGTCGCAAAGCGGATGAGGGGCAAAGGTGTTTGTCCGAGCAAAAATCGGGGCCTCGGTCGGGGGCTGGGTGAGGCAGGCGAGGGGGCGAGCAGAAACCCACCTGCCGGAGGTTGATGTAGACGGCGTTCTGCAGGAACTCCGAGGCCTCCATGCTCCGCTTCTGCACGGCCAGCACGCGCACCGCTTTGACGCAGGCCTCCAGCTCGATCACGCCGGCGTTCTTGTACTGCGGGGGGGGGGGGGGGCTCCGTCAGGAAAGGGGAGAGAAGGCGGCTCTCTCACCGGGGGGACTCACAGACCCTGCAGCAGCGGCCCGCACACACCAGCGGCCCAAGGGGGCAGAATCCGAGTCTCAGAAGTCTGTCCCTCGGGGGGGCAAAGGAGGCAGGCAGGACGGAGGGCACTTAGGGCGCCACAGGAGCGCCTTTCCTCCCCCCCCCGCCCCCCCCCGCCAACACCACCCCTGGCTGCGTTACAAAGCCTCAAAGTGTTACAGTATCCAAAGCGGCTTTGCCACTGCTGTGCACATCTCCTGCTAAAACGCTGAGAATCTCTCACACCTGCGGTGCTGGGCAGCCGTGACTGGTTCGTGGCACTTTGCTGCAAAAACTCTAGCTCCCTCGACCACCGCATCGCCCTCCACTTCAACGTTCCCGTCTTCCGATTTGCCCTCTCCTGGTGACTTGGTCCTGCCTCTCAGACCCCGGGCCCGAGGACGGGTGGAGAGGGTGGGACAGAAAAGGCGCTGCGGACTGCCTCTCGCCCCCCAGTGGGAATCATCCCCGAAGCCAGACAGGAGTCCGCCCGGACACGGCCCTGTCACGCTCGGTGAGTGCACACCTGGAGGGGCGCTCCGCCCTCAGAAAGTGGGGGGCAGCCTGCCGTGCGTGTGCGTGTGCGTGTGCGTGTGCGCGCACACATCGAGTATCAAATCTCGGGAGTGCACGAATGGAGATACGCCCCCAAGGAGCAGCGGCGGGGCCCGCGGAGGGAAAGGGCGCCCATCCCGTCCGCAGGACGCGCGGGCAGCGGCGGCGTCACCTTGCTGTAGTAGGAGATGGCCTCCTTGTACTTGTCGATGATGTCCTCGGGGCTCAGGCAGTTCTTGGCGCGCCCGATCTCGGCGCTGGTGTCGGGGTTGATGCCGTTGGTGGTTAGGGCACCTGCGAACCGAGCGGAAGGGCAGGAATAAGGCCTTGCTTTCTCAGTCTCGCTGCCCGGTTAGTTTAGCAGAGGGGCACGAACGAGGCGCAACAAGACTCCCTGCTGGAGTGAAGTCACGAAGTCGTTTGAAAGGCCCTCACAGCTCACATCCTTCCTGTAACAGTCTCACCATCAAAGCGCGGCACTAAATGCTAACTCGCTCACGAGGAGTTCTCCTCCTCGTTGAAACTGTTGTTAAAGAACGTGAGATGCATTATATGCAAATACCAAGCCCACACCACAATAACTAGCTCAGCTGCCGTGAAGACAGCACAGCCAGCCCACACGGTCTCCCGGCTGTAAACCCTCGACGCCAGCAGGAGGCCGCTGTCCCCTCAAACGGACAGAAACTGCATGAAAGCACTCTCCGAGCTGCACGGAACCAAAAAACAGAAAAGTCTCCTTTCCGTGGCTGTCACAGTCAACGTGTGGCCAACCCTGCCACCGGCAGACCCACCTAACTCCTCAGCCCCCAAACTCACACCAAGAAGAGGTGGGGAGAAACTTCCGCTCACAGAAGGTAGCCAGCGGCACCCCCACGTCTGACGGGAAAAACAGAGACAGACCCTCTTTCGGCTCCCAAGACACTCAGCGTCGTGCCCCCCGAGCCTCCCCAGCAGCAGAGGCTGGGCTTCCCCTGAGCCGCTCATTTATGTTTGCGCAGGCGCCACCACGGCCGCGCCCCACACTGCAGAGCACACCATGTCGGCACACTGACACGGGCCGAAGAACCCCCAACAGAACACCAGCACAGTAGACCTGCAGCATGTAAGAGGGCTGTACCACACGACCACGTGGTACTCCTCACAAGAAGGTAAGGCTGGGTGAAGGTGCAACACCTATCGATACGATGCACCTTCTCAGTAAACTGAAGGACGGAACCCACATGACCATCTCAGCAGACACCGGGAAAGCATCTGACAAAGCCCAACACCCTTTCGTGATAAAACACACTGCCGACTGGGAACAGACGAGAAGGTTCTCCTCGGAGAAAGGCCATCTGCACAGAATCCGCAGCCCCCAGCACGCTGACCGACCGGGAGGGGCTCCACACCGCCCCTCCGAGGGCAGGAGACGGGGAAGCCCTCGCCCGCCACTGCGGCTGGGCAAGGCCGTGGGCATTGCAGTCACAGCAATTAGGCAAAACAATAAATAAAAGGTATCCAAACTGTAAAGGAAGGGTAAAACCACCTCTTTTTTAGGTGACATGATCTTCTATACAGAAACCCCTAAGTAATCCACTAAAAAACTATTGCAGCTAATAAATGAGTCCAGCAAGGTTGCAGGATGTGAGATCAATATGAAAAAACTATTTCTATATCCTCGCAATGAACAATCTGAAAATGAAATTAAGAAAACCATTGCAGCCCTGGCTGGTGTGGCTCAGTGGACTGAGTGCCAGCCTGTGAACCAAAGGGTCACTGGTTCGATTCCCAGTCAGGGCACGTGCCTGGGTTGCAGGCCAGGTCCCCAGTACGGGGCGTGAGAGAGGCAACCAACACTGATGTTTCTCTCCCTCTCTTTCTCCCTCCCTTCCCCTCTCTCTAAAATAAATAAAAATCATTTTTAAAAAACCATTGCCCTCACAATAGCATCAAAAAGAATAAAATACTTAAAAATAAACTTAACCAAAAAAGTATAAAATGATACTTTGAAAAATCAAAAAAAAAATCTTTGGTTAAAACTAAAGCCAAATAAATAGAAAAATCATCATGTTCATGAATCAGAAGACTTCATCTTCTTAAAGTGGTGACACTCCCCCAGCCAGTCCGTAGATCCAACATGATCTCCGTCAAAATCCCCCGCTGAGTTCTCTGCAGAAATTGACTAGTGGATCTTGGAATTTATATGGAAACGTAAGGGACTCAGAACAACCAAAATAACCTTGAAAAACAAAAATAAAGTTGGAGGATTTGCACTTCCCTATTTCAAAAATTATTATAACATCTCTAGGTGAGGAGATCAGAGGTACTTTTAAAATTTACTTTGTTTTTCTTTGCTTTCTAAATTCTCTCCAATGAACGTAACTTGAAGAAAACTAAGCTTTTTTTAAAAAACATGCATAATACCAACTCACTTGAAAAAAAGTTTTAATTATAAAGAAGCAAACGAATACCTAGTGAAAAATAACAAAAGTACCATTGAAGTTTTTCATAAATTGAAAATTTTAAAGTACAAACACATCAGGTTTCTAGGGAAATTTATACAACATACTAAAACAAATTCATTTTCAAAAATTCCGACTGAAATCACAAAAACCCGAGAAGCGAAGGGAAAACCCTGCTTGAGGGCCCGCTTCGCATGCACGGGGGGGGGGGGGGGGTAGGGGGGGCCGACCTGGCGGCTGCAGCCCCCGGGGCCTTCCCGCCGGCTGGACACCGCGAGAGGAACTCGGGCGCGAGACGCACTGACCCAGGGCGCAGGCTCCCGGCACACACAGGGCGACGTCCCCACGGAAGTCTCCAGGCGGCACATCGCTGGAGGGCCACAGAGACACCCTGAGAAACAGGGAGAGACGGAGAGACAGACAGACAGACAGAGGGACTGCCCCGAGTCGCATGAATACAAACTCACTTTTGTCTGCTCACAGGTGCCGATTACTTGAACCACGGCGGAATGCTTTAACTTAGGGAAACAACGCCACCCCCCTCCAGCCGAGGGAGCTACTGAGCTCCCTCCGCCGTGTAGCCCCCTGTGTCCCAGACCTCAAGGGGGCAGGCACCCCTCTGCTCGGGGAGCGGGACTCTTCTGGGAAGCCCAGTCTTTGGACAGACCCAAGAGCCAGCTCCGCGCCATCTGCTCGCCGAGGGACAAAAGACGGCCGCGCTGTCCGGCTCTGTCACTGTCACAGCCGAGACTCACAAACCGAGCCCCGGCCCCCCTACGGGGCAGCGGGGCAGCAGGGGCAGCAGGGGCAGCAGGATGAGAACGGCCCTGCCCGCTCGGGAAGGCTCTCGGACTGCGTGAGCGCTGGGGCTTCACACGCGGGCGAGCAGAAGGGGGTCGGCCCGCTGCTCCCTGGGCCACTCCGCAGCCGTGGTCCTGCTTGCGGCGCGAGGACCAGGAAAGGGTCACGTGTGACCCTGGCTGGGTCGCTGGCGTGGTCAAGGAGGGGGACGCAGAAACTAACAGGTCAAGACGTTTCCGCCTGCGCCCCACCTCAGCCCCCCACACTGAGCTCCGGGAGGGGGATGAGGAGACGAGGCCCCGGGGAGAAAGCCCAGGAGCAAACCAAGCAGGCGAGAGTGTCTGGTAAGTAACTCCCGTAAAAGTAACTGGGGCGCGTCGGAGAGAGGACAGGCGCTGGAGACAAGCTTGTGCGTGGTCTGAACTCCCACGTCGCCACTTCCTTGCGGTGACCCGGAACGAGCCAGTCACCGCCTCCGCCTCTCGGGCCCTCCCCTACACACGGGTGGGGCGACACTGGCGCCCGGAGATGGGGGGGCGGCACCGGTGCCCAGAGAGGGGGAGGGGAGACAACAGCGCCCCGGCCCCCAGGGTGCTGCAGGCACTGCACTGCTCTACGGGGGAAGTCGCGCTAAAGCAGCGCGAGCTCAGCCGCGGCCCCAAAAGCAGCAGCGACGGAGAGCACGCAGAGCGGAGTCGCGGACACGCGAGAGGGCCCGTCCCCGGAGGACCCCGGCGGGAAGTGCCGAGACGGCGCGGGCGGGAGGACGCGTGTCTGCCGAGGACCTGGCACGCGGAGCGTGGGAAGGGCTCCTACGACCACCGGGAACAGGAGGACAGGTGAGGTGGGGACACGTCCTAGGGCTCCCGGGGGTGGGTGTGCGGCTCGGAGGAGAGTGAAAACCTCGGACTGGGCACGTTAAGTGTGCAACCTGCATCTGAGCCGTTTAAGAAACAGCAGGGCGCCCAGAACAGCACCCTCACACAGCACAGGCAAAGTGTCACTTTGTGCATGGGCGGGGGGGCAGAAACCCCCTCGACGTGGAAACCGGAGAGCAGCTGCGAGGGGAAGCTGACGGGCGCCGGCCCCACAGCGGTTCCAGGGGAAGCAGGTGCTGAGGGCGCTCCGCCGTCCAGAAAGGCCGGGACGGTCACCTGACACTCCGAGGTTTCTGCCTCGGACGCGGGTGGGGCGCCCAGGGGCCGCCCAGCTCATCCTCAGGACCTTCAGCTGGGCTGCGGGGAGAGCAGGCATATAATAATATATACTAATAAAAATATACATATCCTTTTTTTATCTCGACAAACGACTGGTCTCCCTGACGGCCCCGGGCGACCTCCACTTCACCCAAGCGTCTCGTTCTCCTGCCAAGAAAGGGGTCGGCACACGGACACTCAGCCCAGAGCTGGGCAGCCCGCTCGGCACCTCCTGCGGGCTGAGCACGGACACGCCCGGCACCCACGCGACCACGCATCGGGTCCCTTCACGGGGCTGCCCCGCGGCCCCTCACCCTCAGCCCACCCTCCCACCAGCGGCCTCTCAGGCCCCCCGAGGACAATGCGTCTGTCTCTCTTCCTCTGCACGATCCGCGCGCCCTCCCGAGACGCGATCACGCAACGTCAGCAAGGGAAAGGACTCAACGCGGCGCTAAAACAAAGTGATCTGCGAGGCTGACGCCGTTTCATTTCAGAGTCAAGATGCGCAATGAGATGGAATCAACGTCTTCAAAGGAAGGCAGGTTTTCATTCCTTTATCATGCACCCTTCGTCACTGCTGCCGCTTAAGCCAGAAGACAATAGAGCTCATTATAAAATAATTAGGCACTGCAATGACAGAGATCAATCACAGAAGCTGTTAAGAGGGGAAAGCACACCCACCTCTGCAAAAAACGCAAACTTTCTTTCCATGCTGGAACACACACAGAAAATGCAGTCAGAGTCACATGGACGTTGAGAGGGGCGTCAACCACAGGGCCCGAGCCAAGTCACACTGCGCACGAGTTCGGGCGGACTGGACACGCATGCGGAGTGCACTGGGGGGGGGGGGGGGGCGGGAGAAGCACGCTGGGCAGACCACTCACTCAGCCATGCCGGAGGAGGGCGGCCCTCGACAGACAGCGCACAGCAACCGGTGCCCCACCACACAAGGGCCAGGCAGTGATCAGTCAGGGCGTAAGGGCTCTGATTTAAAGCGCCTTAAATCAGAGCGCCCCGAGGGTCACCCCGCAGGCGCTCCAGCCACGCACCCGCACCGCCAGGGGCAAGCACTTCGGGAACACAACCAGAGAAGCTGAGCACGCGGACGGCCTACCTGGGTCAATGAGGACCTCCTGCGCCCCTGGAAGAAAGAACAGAGGACGGTCTTTATCGGCAAAACAAAAGTGCGTTAAAGGGTCAAGGTGACGACTAACCCGTGCTCCCAAACTCGCACGGCCCGGAGCCCGAGACGCTCCTGCTGGAGCAGAAGCGCCGTTCTGAGCAACCGTGCGTGACCGCAGGGCGCCCTTGTGCCTCGGGGGAGGGGAACCACCGTCCCCCTGCACAAAGTGTGGGCGCCTGCCTCCTCAGCTCCCCCCCCCCCACACTTCCTAAGCTCACGCACCCCAGCTCTTCTCAGCAAGTGTGAGAGCCTGTCGCTTCCATAAATAAGCTGGGGATGCAGGGATGGTAGGAGGGGTAGTTCGTTTGCGCAAACACATGCCCACACCTCAGGGCGGGTGTGGCGGTGGGGGCAGAGGCACCAGACGGCCGTGTGGGACTTACTACAGGCTTCCTGAAACCTTACACACTCATACACACACACACAGAATTACTGCACCCTTCCCAAACTAAGGATTTCCAACTATTACAATGTAACTTTGTAGTTAGTTTTAAATACGCCCTGGCTGCTGTGGCTCGGCGGACCAAGTGCCAGCCTGCAAACCAAAGGGTCGCTGGTTCGATTCCCAGTGAGGACACATTCCTGGGTTTGGGGCCAGGTCCTCAGTAGGGCGTGCACGAGAGGCAACCACACACTGATGTTCCTCTCCCTGTCTTTCTCCCTCCCTTACCCTGTCTCTAAAAATAAGTAAATGAAATAGATGTTTTTTTAAAAAACCTACACTAGAAGAAAAATGCGAAACAGTTCACTTCACGGTTGCCAGAAGCTTCGAAAGCCTTGATCGTCTGGCCGCCCGCCCGGCGCCAGGAGCCCCGACCAGCCTTCTCTGCGGAGGGAGCGCGGTGCCCGCGATGGCAGGACACAGCCTGGGGGCACCGGTTCCAACACGCACGCGATCGTCAGCCGCGGCCATTCAAGCACCGCTAACACGGGTCAGAGACACACGCCCCCGTCCGATTCTCCGACAGAAACCGTGTGTTTTTCCCGGTGTCTCCACGGAGACAGGCACGGTCACGGTCCCGTTCGAGCGCCGTCCGGGGCACCGCACTGTTTGTTTCCCTATCTTTACGGTCGGCACCATCACAGACCTCCCCACCTCCCGCTGCTCCCCGCAGTGGGCGGTCTCCATTTCTCAGTGCTGACTGAGACGCACCGCCCTCTGGCAGCCACGGGCCCAGCACACACAGGGGCTCTCCGCGGGGCACGGCCTTGCGCCCAGCACGGTGCTTGACCGCCGCCGCCGCCGCGAGTGGATGGGCGACAAGCCCCGCTCTGTGGATGAGGGGACCGAGGCTCGGAGGAGCCAGGACACCCCGCTCCCCAGGGCACCACCACTCCCGGGACACCTGCTGGCGGAGCTGCAGGAGGACGCGTCCCCAGACAACCCTGCACCTCTCCGCTCGGTGAGAAGCCTGGTCAGACACACGACTCTGTGCGCCGTCCTTTACACGGGAACCACAGCTGAAGCCTTTGTGATGCTGAGCCACCAGCGCAGCCCTCAGTGATCTGGCCTCTCCGTAGTGGACTGGTGGGGGGCGGGGGACCCCACTGCGCGGAGACCGCAGACCACTCGAAGTCACCGCATTCCTCCGTGAAAGCCCCCCCCGCCGCTGGCCACACTCGGGCAGCCGGCCCTCACGCCCCCTGCTGGGAGCGGGCCTGAGGCGCCGCCCCTGCGTGTTCCGTGGCCCCCCCCCCCGGCACACCCGGTGTGGGTCGGCGAGCCACGGGGGCTGGAGATGGGGTTCAAAGAGCAAAGAGAAAGCTCGACCATGAAAAACGGACATTTTTTATGCACACGAGGGAGGGGGCCCTCGGCCCTCAAACCCGACTCAGGCGCCCCCCCACTGACTGACCACTAGGGGGCGTGAGCCGCGGCCTCGACCCCCCGGGAGGGCGAGGGGCTTCCTTCTTCCGCGAGGGGCTCCGCGGGCCCGCCCGCCCGAACAGCACGGCTGCCTGGTCTCCAGCGTCGGCAGAAGGGCCCGCATCGCCCTCGCTCGCCCAGCCGTCTGCAGTGTTCAGCCATCTGCAGTGTTCCCACTGCGGTGACACAATCAAAGAAGCTCTACCTGGAACCCTTCTCCCGGGCACCCAGACGGCCACTGTTCGGAAGCAGGGCACACAGAGGTCGGATGACCGAACGTGTGTAAGTCTCCTTCCCGAACCCGAACCGGGCCCCCGGAGGTGCCGCGGTGCCGCCGTCGGCCAGCAGGGGCGCCCCGGGCGACAGGAGCACGGGAGCTGCCCGCAGGCTGGCGGTGACGGCCAGGCCTCCGAGAACAGGACGTCCGGGGACCCTGGCCCTGCTGCGGGGACGGGAGCGTTGTCTGGTGTGCCGCCCGCTCGGGGACACAGACAGGAGACATGGGCTCACGGGAACCGCGCTGGAGCGGGAAGGAGCGGATGTTCAGAGACCGGGGAGGCTGAGGCCCCGGGACTCGCCCCTGCAGCCACGCAGCGCCGAGGGCGCTCCCCCAGCAGTGGGGGGTCTGAGGGTCCCGCGCAAGACCCCGCAGGGCGGGCCGTGGCTGTGAGTCACACGGTGCCGCTGAGACACAGAAACGCCTGCTCACGCGGTAAAGCCGCGCGAGGCTCCCCTTTGTCCCCACCCGTGAAGGAAGTGACAGGTGGCTGCCCGAGGTCGTTAACCTGACAGAGGCACAAGAACGAATCAAAACTCTCCCCGGCCGCAGAGCAGGTCGGACGGCGAGTGGGCGCTCCCTGCCTCACCAGAGGGGTCCACACACACCTCCACACCGCACCGGAGTAAAGAGGAGCCGAGCGCCGACCGCGGCGGCGGACCACGGCCGAGGCGCGGCCCGCACACGCGCACACGCACACACGCCGAGGGTGCGGCAGACGCGGGCGGCCTCTCCGGGGGCAGGGCGGAGGCCCCGCAGCACAGCCCGAGGCCCAGCTCACGCCCTCACTCCCGGCGACGGCCGGCGGGTGCTGAGCGCCTCTGCGGGGCGGGGCGTCCACGGTGCCTCGTGGTCGCTGCCGCACCCGGGAAACGGCACCGTCCCCGCTTCACAAACGAGGAAACAGGCTCGGGTCATAAACGGCACGGCGGGCCAAGTCCCAAGTCCCATAAAACGCACGTTCATCGCCAGGAGAAAAAAGTACAGGTTTTCACTTTCTCGCAGCATTCGCTGACCTGATCTTGTCTTCCACGCTCCAGACCAGACATACCCAGTTCAGCCTGAACTATGTTTCCTCCCAACCGGCATCACCAGAAAAACAAGAGTCACGTCATCGGCAGTGGTCGGATTTTCACGGTCCACTTCTCTTTCACGACAATCGCTGTAATGTTTTGTTTTCAGCGCTTACGTACTTAAAAATGTAACGTACTGTTTTAGGCGGCTCACTGAGAACAAAACACGTGCGAGAATACACACACGACTTTGCTCCCTGCTGCCCCCCCCCCGCCCCCCAAGGCCCGCAGCGAAGGGCGCCGTGGCTCCCCTGGTGCACACAGAGGTCCCGGCGGCCGGCGCAGGAGGCTGCAGGGAGGGTGGCCGGGCAAGCGTGCTGCGCCCTCACGGCGGCCTGGGCTCGAGCCCCAGGCCTGCCCCGCCCCCGCAGGCGGCGTGGTTTGGGTGAAGTTACCTCCCGTCTGCAAACCTTGACCCCCGCCCGCCGAGTGGAGACCGGACACCTGCCCTCACGCGCCTGCGGGGAGGCCGACCACGCGGGAGGGCGTTCCACACAGCCACAGGCCTGGGGGGGGTGGGGGGGGGGCTGGGTAATTCTTGGCTATTCTAATAATTATGAGGATAATGAAGATCACTGTTAATAAGTTAAGAAAGACGAAACAGCAGAAAGAGCCGTACAGGAGGAACAGTTACTAGTCACTAGGCATTCCCCTTCGGACTGATTGCAGAACATGTACTGATTTTCTTCACAAACCAAATTGTGTCCATTGATTCCAGACTTGCAGATTCACATACAAGTCTCCAGGAAAAAAAAAAAAATCAGTGTCCTCAAACATCTGACCACTAGGAAAGTAAAGTCTGCAAAAAATTAAAGCAAAAGAAGAATTAAAGCCAAAAGAGGCCGAGGGCACAGAATCCTTCTGACACTAAGACAACCCCACTCTGAGTGGGAAAACACTCCCTGGTCCCCGAGGAAACCCGCTGAAAGCCCCATGAGCGGACGAGACCGAGAGCCTCCCCACCCCGTTCCTGAGCCCACACCACCACCACCGGCGGCGGCGGCACTGGAGACGGCAGCCGCTCGCACGGCTCAGATGCCAGGGGTTTGCGCGTCTCCCTCGAGCTTCACGAGACCCTACGAGGTGCGGACTGCCAGTGTCCCCCCCCCCGACCGACAGGGAAACCGAGGCCCGCTGAGACCGAGCAGCCTTCCCCGTTTGCATGTCTGCTGTCTGCTGCTGGGACAGGGCCGGGGACACGGGGGACATGCGCCGGCCGGCGTGTCGGGCCTCGCTCGGGCGGTGCAGGCCCCGGGCTCCCGACGGAGGACAAGGGGGCCCCACGCGCCCGTCATCCTGAAACCAGCGCGCCAGGTGCAGCGGCGCCCTGCCCTGGGGTGCAGCCTGGTGACGGCCCGGCCCCTGCCCTCCCCGCAGTCTCGCTGCCCCTCCAGCTCTCACCCGGGCCTCACGGGCGCTCCCCCGGAGACTGCCTTCAGCCCTAAAAAGTTCCCAGGTTCTTCCGCAGAGCTAAAAAAAGACATCTCTCTTCTGCAGACAGAGCAGTTTTTCAGGAAAGGTGGAAACTGTTTTGCCTATGCTCAGCAAGGGGACAAATGAAACGCCGCTCCAGGAAGTCCCCGGAGCCTCAGTAGGACGGTGTCCCGAGGGAACTCTGCGAACCACAGGGGAGGCGCCAGCACCCCCGCCCGGACACCCCTGGAGGGAGGGAGGGAGTGCGGACCACCTTCTCCCGAGAGACAGCAGGACCCGCGCTCGCCCTCCTGAGTGCGCAGGACGCGACGGCACCGGGTGGCTGGGCCGGCGGGGGGACGCAGGGGGCCTTGGACTCCGTGACCTCGCACCAGGGACAGGGCGCCAGGGGCAGGAGCGAGGACAGGGAGGAACACACGTGGGCGGAGAGCACTGGGGGTCCGAATGGGGCGCACGGGAGGGAGGGGCCGAGACCGGGTGCTGAGCCTCAGCCCTGCTGCACCCCCCTCAGTGCGCTTTGCTTTTCTCTCACGATACCCAGACGCCGGGGAGGACGCCGGGGAGTCCTCCAGGGACGGCGGCCCACCGCCCAGAACCGCCGCCATGCGTTCTACGGGGCGGTGGGGGGCACGGAGTTCAGGCTGCAGCGACCGCGCCCGGCCCACGAAGGTGGTCTCTGCGCCCTGCGGTTGTGGGGGCGGCACACTGCGGGGAGAGAGGCACCCGAGGCCTCCCCCGCCCACACTCGCACGCAGCACCTCGTGCTCCATCGGTGCCCACGAACACGAGCACACCAGACTCAGCTCGTGAGGAGAAATCCATCACCTGGGAGAGCGCGAGGCAGCCCAGCCCCCGGTCAGCTGTACACACCGACCTCTGGGGCGGCTCCGCCGAGCGCACAGGAACCGCGGAGAAAACCCAGACCCAGGACCTCAAGGTCAGCCTGGTGCACTTCACGCAAGTGCCCCAGAAACCCGCCAGTCTCTGCAACCCGTCAGCATTGCTTACGAGGTTCGGCGCGACTGACAAATGTTGCCCAAAACCAGAAGAAAGCATCTTCTGCGCAAGACGTCCGACTCCACAAGGCCGCACTCAAACGTCGGTCAGGCTGGGCTCGGGGGCAGAGGTCACGCGCGCAGGGGGCCGCGCTCACCTGGGCGATGTCTGTTGGCCGCCTCCGCGGCAACGGAGCCCCCCTGCAGCCTCCGAGAGCCGGTCCCGCCGCCGCCGGTCCCGCCGGGGTAGTGGTGGATGACAGAGGCCGAACACAGCCCCTCGAGGGCGGCTGCGCGGGAGGACAGAGAAGGGCCGTCAGTGAAGGCGGCGGCCGTCCCCGGCTCCGACCGCGGCGCCCGGCGAAGGTGAGAGCACTTCACGGGGAAGTGTGCCTTCTCCCCCAGAACAAAGACCACGCCTGCAGACGGCTGGTGTGGCCCCAGCAGGGACACGCCCCCAGCCCTCTCCCGTGCCGGGCGGGTACCGAGGCCGGCACCACGGGAACGGCTCACAAAGCCAGAGGCTGCACAGGAGGAGGGACTGCACCCACCTGTTGGGCGGGCCAGCGCGCCCACCAGCCGTCCCAAAGCAGGGCCAGCGCACCTGCCCACACCGGACACCCTGGGTGCCTCCGTGCCGGCGGGGCAACCCCCGTGGGCCCGCCTCCCTCTCCAGGCAGCCACGCGCCCTGGGAGCGCGGCCGGTCCGCCAGCGGCGCCTCCATCCGCTCCCCAGCGGTTCTCTCCCTTTCCGGACTCGGAACTCCCTGACACTCCGGAAGAATACTAAGGACCGCAGAGAGCTTCTCTGCGTGTGTGTTGTGCGTGGGGTGCAGCTGGAGATGCTTACCATGTTCAGAATAGAAGTATGAAAGGACTTAAATACTTATGTGCTAATTCCTTGAGACAATAAGAAGCCCGAGACCTGTGGGATTTTTAGGGGAGGCAACTGGCGTCCCCAACAGAACGAACAGGCTGGGGGAGCGGCCCTGTCTGACATCTCCGCAGAGCTCCTAACGTCCGGCGTCCGCGCCGGACTCCTACGCTGGCTCCTGCAGTCAGTCGGCTGGCGGCCTCTGGGACTCCCCGTGTGCGTGCGCTTCCGCGGGGCTGGCCGAGCGTGGCGGTGGTGTGTTAAGTCCTTCCCTCGTGTTCACGTCTGTTCCAGCATTCGGATCGGCCTGCTCCTCCACCCGCCGGCCGGGGGGTGGGCGAGGCTCCGAAGGGCGGGTGTGGGAGCCGGCTGAGGTGGGGGTGGCGCCCAGCGGAGGGCGGGACGTGGTGAAGTTGAAAACCGGAGGACCACGGAACCAGTGTGCAGTGAGGGGCAGTGTTCCAGCGGGCCTGGGGTGCGGGCAGGTCGGGGGGTGCAGGGCAAGGCCGGGAGGTCACCGGAGATGGAGACGGCCCTAAGCACCCAGCAGGCCGCCTGCCCCTCCTCCCGCGCCCTTTGTGTGGGGGGCCGGTTTCCGTTTCCTCCCCTCCGGAACGGGAGTGGCCGCCATCGCGCATCTGACCCCCGCACGGACCGCCTTACCTCCGAGCCACAGGAAGTCGTTCACGGAGCGGAGCAGCTCCACCGACATGTGGTAGTGCACCAGCGAGTCCTGCAGCATGCCCGCCTGCAGGCACAGGTCCCCCACGTGCTTCCGCATGCGCCCTTGGCACCGCTTCTTGTAATGCCTGAAACACAGGGCGCGTGGGGCGCGTCACTGCCCGCGGCCGGCCCCCGCCCCCACGGGCCAAGCGTGCGCCTCTCGCTGCGGGCAGGCAGGCAAACGAAATGCTGCGAAGGCACCCGGGCGCTCTAGCGCGGGAAGGCGGCATCCCGCTCGGCCAGACGCGCACTGGAGCGGTCCTGCCTTCACACGGCGCTGCTCCCGCGCCGGAGGCGGCCGCCACGCCCTCCGCCGTGGGCTCTGCACAGACAGCGTCGGACCAGGGCTTTCTCTTCGAATGTTCCAGTCACCCCATTAGCACGGGAACGTCTGTTCCGGCTTTTTAAAAACTTCATTAGCTCCCACGTTCTGAACGCCAGCCCTATCATTATTTCATGGAGAGAGCCACACCGCATATCGCAAGCCAAGCCTCCGGCTTCTGCAAACAAGGGCTCGTCTTTGCTACTTCAGAGCCAGCTGGGAAACCGCCTGCCGGGGCGGGCCCGGGCGGAGCGCACCCTCAGATGCCGCAAGGGCTTCCAACGCCGCGTCAGCTCGGACAGCGGAGAAACCGCCCCCAGATCTTCCATTACCATTCTTAAATGTTCCTATGCTTTGATTATTCAATTTCTTAGATATAGTTTTTTTCAAGATCACAGCTGTATTAAATTTCCCCAGACCATGAAAACATAAGGTGTAAGGCTTCTAGCTAAGTGAATACTGAGACGCATCTCAATACGAAGTTTACATCCTATCAGATCCAAGTCTGATGAGCTCAACCACCCTTTGGCTGCCCCGGAACTCAGCTCCTCCGCCCCAGACGGTGCGTGAACCACGATGGTCACCCACGGCGGAGAAGGAGAAAGGGGCCTCGCCAGCCTCCACCCGAGCTCCCCCCGCCACAGGCAGTCTTCCAGCGACCCAGCTGACAAGTTCCGCCCCCAGGAAGTACCCCTCTGTGGCCCCCAAACGGACATGGGCATCTGTCTCCCCCACTGGTCACCTCAACAGCCTTCTGTGATCTTCTGACACCCTGTCCTTGGTCCCGGCCCCCCCACACACGTGGGTAATCTCAGGAGAACCTTCCCACAGCACTGCAAGGGCTTCCCTCCCCAGTTCTAGCCCCTCCCACAGCTCCCTTGCACCCCAGTGCCGACTCCAACCTCCCCCCACCCCACCCCTGCACTGCAACCCCTCCACGAGACCTCAGGCTCCACCCACTCTCCTTAGGGCTGGGTTTGACAGTCAGTTTCTCAGGCAAGCCTTCCCTGCCTCCAACCCCAGCACTTCGGGTTGGGGTCCCTGCTGTGTTCCCAGAACATCCTGTGCTGAATCAACTTCCAACGTTCGTGGGCTCCCAAACAGCGAGTGTGCTTTGCTCCGCATCGGGTACCCACTCCGCTCCCCTGGACGCCCCAAACCAAACCAGTAGACGGGTCACACAGGCACTCAGGGCTGCCCCTGCCACCCAGCCCCGAACACACCTCTCCCAAAGGCCACGCCCGGCTGGCGGCCTTCGCTGGTCCCCTGCGGAGAGCTCTAACGAAAACAAGCCCTGCCCGGTGCCCCCACAGGCGCGCCCTCCGCCCTGAACTCTACTGGCACAGCGGCCCCTTCGAGCGTGCCAGCACCGGGCGCTCTCCCCAAGCCCCACCCCACGAGGCACCGGGTCTCTGCCCGGGCCGCTCCAGCCTGCGCTCTGGGCAGCGTGCATCGGAGCGTCACTCTCTCCTGTTGCGCGGCGTCAGCGGAAGACAGGAATTCCCGCACAGCAGCGCACCACGTGGATCTCCGAGGAAGGTGCTGGAACGGTTGCTGCACAAACCGTTCTCCCCGGCTGGCCCAGCGGCACGTGACACGCCGGTGAGAACCCTCCAAGCGCCCGGCTCACGCTCCCTCCTGCTCCACAGCGCAGTACGGGGCCCCCTCCACCAGGAAACCTCCCCTGACGACCTCCTCCAGCGCTCGGCCGGGCTGCCCTCCACCACCGGTCAGCCCAGCCACCAGCGGGGCGTCCGTCCATGCCGTCCACCAAGACCGTGGCCTCCCTGAGGCCGTGTCGGAAGAGGAGGAAGAGAGTGAAGAGGGAAGGCATGGGGAAAAAATCTCAGCCCAAGTCAGAGGATTCACGGTGTTCCTGTGGCCTGAACTTGGGAGGGTCCGAGGTCTGGGAGAAACCTCGGCTAATGGTCACACCTGCCAGGGGTGGGGGGTGGGGGGCACCCAGGCCGGGCTGTTCTCCCAGCGCTCCCCTGGGGTCTGGTAGGTGCGGGAAAGGCCCTGCGGCCCGGGGCGGGACCCAGGCACCGCAGCACCCCCGCCAGGCGTGCTCCACGCCGGGCAGCTCCGGCTTCTGGTCCTCGCCACACTCACTCGTGCTCTGCTCCCTCAACCCCAGACGTGGCAGCCTTGCAGGATGTCAGCCTGTGTCCACGAGACCAAGTGAACGCGGACGCAAGTGTTCCCACAGGGACCGGGGCCTTGAACAGCCACGGCCTTCCGGCCACGGCGGTGGCAAACCTCCCCGGGGAGGCGCGGTGGGTCCTGGGCCACCGAAGAGCGTCCCTCAGGGCCGACCGCGGGCACCGCGGGTGCACGACTGCAGACTCACGACCTGCCCGTCGGGGTCGCGCATCAGCCCCGACACACTTGGAAACGGCGCTCCTCGCCGACGCAGGGCGCGGAGCAAAGGCGCGGCAGGCCCGGGCAGCTGCGGGCAGGGAAGGGCACGCCTCCCTCGGCACGCCCGCTGGCGAAGGCGGAAGGCCACCACGGTGGGTGACCGAGGTCCTCGCGTCCCCAAGACCCAAACCCACTGGCTACTTAGCAGCAGGTCCCACGTCCCCGGTGCCTCACAAAGCTGCCCTTGTCGAGGGGACACACGGCCGGTGCCAGTTCCCCAGGAGTCTCCGCCCCCGCAGGACGGGGCATCGCTACGGCGAGGTCCGTGGCAGGCTCCGGGTGAAAGCAGGCGCCACTCCAGCGGCCGCCTCCTCCAGCAGCGTCCCTGTCCCTCCGCGGGCGACCGCGGTCCAGCAGCACCGCCATGCACGTCGCCCAGCAGCAGCCGAGAACCACGTGCCTGATGCGCACAGCTGAAAGCCGGGGTCGAGCAAGGCGCTGCAGCCTTCGCCGTCCGAGCCAAAGCAGCCCATGAGCCAGCCCTCCGCAGCGGCCAACGCCGACGAGCACCGCGCTTCCTCGAGCGAACAAAACCATTAGTGAGGGCTCGCTGGTCGCAGATACCGAGGAAAACCAAACAGGGTCCCCAAAGCAGGTGCTTCCGCAGAGCTCAAACGCCAGTGGGTTACGTGCTAGAAAAGCTGAAATTCAAACACAATTAGAAAACGGAAGGATGACCGGGACGACCCGTGGGTCCAGGCAGCGGCAGGGCTTGTCTCTAAAGCGAGGGAGGCGGTGGGAAGGCAGCACGGAGGGCGATCCGGCTATTTCCAGCGCGACACGTTCCCGGCCTACCTTCTCAGGCCCAACAACACACTCACGGGGCGGTACGAGAGAGACAGGAAAAGAAAAGAAAGAACAAGCAAAATTAGAAACACACAAGAACAAAAATAACTGACAGCTACCACACTGCACGTGCGAGAACCCACCCAGCCCCACTGAGGCTGGGACACACGGACGCTCAGGAAGACCCCCACCCCAGCGCTCCTGGGACTCGGGGTGGGGGGGTGCCTGGAGCGAGGGGCTTCTGCCGGGGAGCCTGTGGGGCCAGTGCGGGGAGCCAGCACGGGGCCTGCTGCTGGCACGCCCCTCTGAGCTCCAAAGCCCAGCCCCCTTCCCCAGCGGACAGACACGTCACGTCATATCACCCCCACCGAGGGCTGCAGGTGAGACTCGGACTCTGCCCCGGCCCCAGGTCCTGGGGGCAGAGGTGAGAGAGCAGTGGCGCCATGAAGGCCACAGCGGACTCACAGCGATGAGAGGAGAGGGGGTCTGATTTGGGGTCACTGGCACCTCACTGAAGTTCGAGTGAAGGCGGAGTGTTTGGGGTACGGCCAGGACAGAAGGGGCTGCCGGGGCGAGGTTCGACGTGCCGCTGCGCCCCGATGCCCAGAGCGCACCTGGCCCGCCGAGGTGCCCCACAAACACGCACCAGGCCGGTGTCCCGGAACAGTCTCGCTGCTCCCACCGAACGGTGAGCCCAGATTTCAAACGCAAAACCGAGCTGTATTCTCTGGTGGGTCTGCGGCCTCAGAGCCAAGAAGGGGATGAGCAAAAAATGTCTCCGGTGCCTCGGGCAGCAGAGGAGGCGGCACTGGTCCAGGGGTCAGGGCGGGACTCCCCGCCCAGGCTGCTTCGAGGCTCAGGCGCTCACCCAGCGGTCGGTGCAATGGGGAGAGGCCTGTCCCCGCTGGCCCCCAGGCTGCGGTGACATGGGGCGTCCAGGGGGCCGTGTGAGCCGGGCCGCCCCACTCCCTGAGGGTGACCCGCCTGACAGCCCAGGAGGCGCGGCAGCTCTGCCCTGGGAGGGGCCCAGGCTCCCCCGCCTCGCCGCCACAGCTCCAGGGATGGGAGGGGCGCGCCGGCGTGTGCCCACGGGCCGCTGCAGTGGTCGAGCACAGGCTGTGGGAGTGAGTGCCTCGTCCTTCCCTCGGGCCACCCAAACGCGTCCCGGTGAAGAAAGAAAAGTCACCCCAGACCCTGCAGGGCACTGCGCTCGGGTCTGGCTCGGGCCGCACTGTGCCCGTCACTTACGGGGCTGGACCGGGCCAGCTGTTTCCTAAGGCTGTGACACTTTCTCCACCAACTTACCCACGGCCAGGAGGCAGTGCCTGACCTCCGGTCAACCCTGGAAACACCGGGCACTGACCTGCAGCGGGCCGCGGCCAGCGTGCACACGCGCCGCCCACGCCTCACTGCGAGACCGTCGTCACAGCGAGCCAACGGAGGGGGGGGAGCGGCACGGGCGCCCGGGCACGGCGAGCCCGAGCTCTCCCTGGCAAGGGGCCGCTCTGGGCACACGGCTGCACCCCGGGCTCGCCCCTCGTCTCCTGCTGCTGACATGCTGTCCTCAGACGCCCCAGCGGCAACTTGAGGACGGAGCAGAGGGTGGGGCGGGCTGGGGCAAGGAGCCGCAGGTCACACCCACAGTCCTGGTGTCCCGGTGCACGGCCAGGCCGTCGGCTTAACCGCAGGAGACTGCGAGCACTGACCTCCTCCCGCTCTGCCCAGCGCTCCCTGTCCCGCGGAGGCGGCAGCTCTCAGGACGTCCCCCCCCTGCCAGGGGTGCCCCCCATGTCCTGAGGCGGACACTGTGGCTGCCAGGAGGGAAGACGGGGCCCGGCCCACGCCCGGCGCCCGGCCTGGGAGGCAGGGCCCTGGGTCCACTTCCAGCTGAGTCCACGCCTCGCTCTGCTGCCCCTCCAGATGCAGCCCCCACCTCTGGATCCAGGGGACGCCCTGGAGTGAGCCCCTCGCTGTGCTCCAGGGCGGCGCTGTCCGACAGGGACAGCCCGGGGGCCACAAAAGGGAATTTAAGTTTTCTGGTTGCCACATTCTAACAAGTAGGAAACAGGCCCCAGCCAGTCTGCCGCAGCTGGTGGAGTGTCCTCCAGCGAAGCAAAAGGTCAGCAGTTCCCTTTCCGGCCAGGGCACAGGCCCGGGTGGCGGGTTCGGTCCCCGGCCAGGGCACGTGCCGGGGGCAAACCGGTCCATGTTCCTCTCTCACATCAGTGGTTCTCCCTCTTTCTCCCTCCCTTCCCCTCTCTAAAAAATAAAACAAAATAGCAGAAAATAAATATTTAAAACTGATTTGAATAATTTATTTCATCTAATCTATGTAAAATGCTATCCTTTGGGCACGTCATCAGAACGTAAATATTAATGAGCCATCTCCCATCATGTTTCCCGTGCCAAGGCTCCACACCCGACGCGCACTGTCCTCACAGCTCACAGCGGCTCGGACCGGCCTCCCCTCTGGCGCGCAAGAGCCGCAGGGGCCGTGGCTGCCACACTGGGCAGCAGCTCCAAGGGTCCCGCTGGGGGGCCCCCCGGGGTTCCAGCTGAGAAGGGGGAGTCAGTGAACACAGCAACCCTTAAAGGATTTCCCTTATGCAAAGGCTGTCCTGGTTGTTTTTCTTTTTAGAGAAAGAAACACCCATTTTTGTTGTTCCACTTATTTATGCACTCATTGGTTGATTCTTGTGATGTGCCCCGACCGGGGATCGAACCCACAACCTTGGCGTAAAAGGACAACACTCCAACCAACCGAACTACTGGGCCAGGAGCAGGTTTCAAGTCTGAACGTGAGCGGACTGCGCCTTCCTCTCCCTCCCCGACGTCAGGCAGCAGCCCCAGGACGAAGCCAGCACCCCGGGCCTCTCGGCACACTCACCTGCTGTCTGTGTCCAGCCCCACGAAGTCCTTCTTCTCGAACGGGACGCAGAGCAGAGGGATCTTGTCCCCAGACTTGTCGGTGGCCCGGTCCAGGCGCTTGGACTCGAGCACAATGAAGAGCGACTCGATGAAGTCCTCGATCCGCTTCTCCACGGTCGGGCAGTCCTCGTAGCTGGGGTAGAAGGCCACGTCGGTGCGCGGCTGCTCCGCCACCTCGCCCCGCAGCCCGAAGACGAAGAGCCTGGAGTCGTAGAGCGTGGCGCCGTAGACCTCCTTCTGCACGTGGAACTTCTCGAAGGTCTGCGGCCAGTCCCGGGCCGAGCAGCAGTCGGTGACGGTGACCAGGCCCACGACCTTGCGGTGCGTCTGGAAGTCGCCCCACTCGTTGTTCTCGGGCGGGTAGTGGTGCCGGTAGCGGATGTACAGCACGCGCTGGGAGTCCCGCACGCTGACCTGGCTCACGGAGCAGATCCTCTTGTAGATGCGGAAGAAGTTCTCCTCCGAGACGATCCCCACGGGCTGGACCACCACCAGGAGCGTCTGGTGGTCCTCGGCACACTGCATGTAGTCGGGGACGCTCATGGCGAAGCCCCTGCCCGGGGAGACCAGAGAAGGCGTTGAGGCGCGTGCGGGCGTGGAGAGCCGGGGTGGGGGGCCCTGGCGCTGACCCCCTCCCTGGGAGGCAGGGTGAGCCCCCCGCAAAGCATGGAGCCCGCCCCCAGAGCTCTGCAGACTGCCACCCCAGCTCTCACCCCAACGCTGCTCCTCTCCGGCCGCCCCAGCTCTCACCCCAACGCTGCTCCTCTCCGGCCGCCCCAGCTCTCACCCCAACGCTGCTCCTCTCCGGCCGCCCCAGCTCTCACCCCAATGCCCCCGCTCTCGGCCGGGCTCCAAGCGCCTGCTCAGGGGCCTGTCCCTCGTTTCCCGCTTCCGACGCCTAGCCGGGCGCGGAGTCGGGCGCGGAGTCGGCGCTCAGAAATGTTTGCCGAATGAACGAAGGGGCCAAGGAATAATCTACCTCCCCAGCCCCTCCCTGGAATCAGAAGACCTGGCCTTGAACTCCATCCAGTCTGCCTAAGCGCCTAGACCACAAAATAACGGAGAGAAGGGAACTCGCCCGTAACGGTCCATCTGGATTGAGGGAGGCTGCGAGCGTGAGACGCACAGCCCACTGCCCGCCGCAAAAGGGGGTCACACGCAGGCACTGTCCCTCCTGTACAGACGGCGGGCCCAGGGAGCTCTGTAGCCTCCCTGAGCCAACATCGCCGAACACAAACGGGAAGCAGGAGCGCCTGACGGTCGGTGCCGCTGAGTTGTTGACCTGGACAGCCCACGTGTCCGCACGGCCCCGGGGGCCTCTGTCCGCGTCTGCGGGTGGACAAGTGACCCAGCGGACCGCCCGCCACCCACCCCTGCAGACCTGCACGAGAGCGACGGGGACGCCAGGAGGTCCGAACACCGGTGCGACCCTGCCCCCACACTGCCCGTGTGGGCGACGGGGCAGGCCTGTGGCCACTCCACGCCCCAGGTTAGTCGTGGGTGAAAACAAGGATAATCACACAAAGGCTTAGTGCGTGGATGTCTGCTCGATGCTGCGCCCTAGTGCGGCATGCCAGTGCCACTAGGGGTTGGGGGGGGGAACCGGGCTCGGGGCCCCCAGGCTCTCGGTGTCGGCTCTCACAGACGCGTGGAGACCTACACTGCGTCGCCAAGCGAGAAGCCTGATTTGTATGAGAGGTGCTGCGGTGAAATGAGGTCGCTGCACTGAACCAGACAGACACCACACAGACAGGGGAACGCCTCGCCCGTGAGGGGGACTCCGTGAACACTCCCACCAAACCCGTCCACGCGCCCCCACTCCGGAGCGCCGGGACCTGGCCCTGACGGCCAGAGGCAGCCGCACCAGGAGCTTTATTTAGGCTCCAGGGCCCCGCGTGCCAGAGCCGCCGCCATGGCCCCGTGCCGAATCTGTGTGTGTGGTTCTGTTTCCTTTTCCTTAAATAGGAACCTCACGTTGCAGAGCCTTCGGGTCTCCGACACCTGACACAGCGACCAGGTGAAGCAAGAACATGAGAAGGTCCTCTCCACGAGACCCGTTCCTGACTCTAACGGCAGGAGTTTCATCCTGGGCGGGGAGGAAGAGGGTGGTGGGGTCGGTGGTGGAGGGCCGCCTACCCCAGATGGACATTGTATTTCACCCCTTACCCTCTGCATTTCAGCCCCAAAGTACACACGGACAGAGCAGCATGGACAAGATTTTTGTGTTTAAAAAAAAAAGCATCTGCCCTGGCCAGTATAGCTCAGTGGGTTGAGCACGGGCCCGAGAACCAAAGGGTTGCAGGTTCGATTCAGGGCACAGGCCTGGGTTGCGGGCCAGGTCCCCAATAGGGGGCACGTGAGAGGCAACCACACAGTCATGTTTCTCACCATCTCTTTCTCCTTCCCTTCCCCTCTCTCCAAAAATAAAATAAGTAAAATCTTTTTTAAAAATTAAATAAAATTAAAAAATTAAAAAAAGACTCCCTGGCCTGCTAACATACTTTGTTTCTGCCCAGGACATAAACGGTTTGTGTGCATATTATTTCATTTAAACCTTTAAATATCCCTTCCGCTTCACAGATGAAGCAATGGTGCCAGATCACAGAGAGGCCAGCGCAGAGGCAGCGTTTAAATCAAGCCCCTGCTCACCGCCCGCCCGGTAAAGGGTGGCACACTCCCTGCCGCCTGCCTGCTCCCTGCAGTGATTCTCCGAAGGGTCTTTTCTGCAAAGAATCAAAATCAAATCAACTCTCCAGAGAGAGGTGTGCCCTCCTTGGGGGAGGTCTCAAAATCGTAAGGGTTGGGGTTGGGGTAAGATCTGAGAGTCTTGTGCTCCTCAAAGGAAGCGTGAGTTTAAAAGAAACTGAAAAACGTTTATCTAGTCTGAGCCTCCACTGTGTGGAGAAGGGAGGGGGCCCAGGGTTCATGAGCCAAGGGCCTTATTAACAAGTATCGCCTCGCCGCAGCCCCGAGTAAGCCCTGGGAGGTGCTGAGCGGGCGAAGGGTCGGACCGGAAGGCCCAGGAGGACAAGGGTTACAAAAGAGAGAGAGAGGAACCCACGAGGCCCTGCCTCTGCAACACTGCACCACGATGTTGCACCGAGTCATGCAATGCATTTGCTCTCAGAACTAATGTGTAACAGTTTACAGAAACTGAGAACTTGGAATCCTACTGGAATTCCGACCTTCACCGTGGTCTTCCCCGGTTCAAGTGTGTGCACGGCGGACACTGTGCCGGGCACGGGGCTCTCCCAAACTCAGACCTTTGTTCACACGTGCACAAGTCCCACGCAGCCCAACCAGGGAAAAGACGCCTACACGTGAGGTTGAATTGATAAAATTTAGAGTGATCGGCCAGCCTGCATTATTAGCAAAAAGGATGCTGCTGTCTCATGAGCTTCGAGGGGCAGAGGACCCGCATGGCAAGGACCAAGTCCATGAGATCGTCGCCAGCACTGGCCGTGAGTCAGTCACGCAGGGTCACTGAGGTTCAGCTCTCTCTCTCGTGAAAGCCTGCAGTTGAAACTACTGATGTTTCAAGTCTCCTCATTCGCATGCTCGACGGCCCGTGAGCGCGTCCCCTGCACCAGACTCTGTATGGATCCACAGACGGCTCCCAGGTGTAGTCGTGGGCAGAGACAGTTAATATCATAAAGCTGCTACTGCTCCCCAGTTTGAGACACAGATTCAATGCCAGTCTGATTAGAATCCCTACCAGATTGTTCATGGAATGCAGCAAGTATATTTGTGGTCAAGAATAACTAAGAAACAATTGAAGAGCCACCACGGGGGAGGGGCATTGTCCCAACAGATATAACTACTACAGGGGTACAGGGTTTCTCTCTGGGGTGGTCAGTGTTCTAAAATCGACGGCGGTGATGGCCGCACGGCTCTGCGAGTGCACTAAAGGCCCTGAGTTGTGTGTCTAAACGGTTTCTTCGAGGAAGCACGGGATGGAATGAGACGGGCACTGACCAGCGCCGGTGTCAGTCACCCACCCGACACACACATCACACGTCGAACATACGTGTTCCTCCTCCTCGCTGGTTCCTCCAAAAGCTGAACCGAGTTACCGCATACGCCGCAGTTCTGCTCCTACCCACGCACCAGGGACCTGGAAACCCACGTGGGCACGAAAACTGGCGCCCGAAGGTTCCGGGCAGTATTCCAGGTGACCCGGAGGAAGGGGGAAGGGCTGGAGCGTCTGTGAAGGGACGAGGGAGGAAAAAAAGCGGGGTGCATCCACACCAACAGGGGTGTGTCCACACCAACAGGGGTGTGCAGCCTTCCGGCGTCTCTGCGCCACCCCGGAAGAAGCAGAATTGTCTTGGGCCGCACATTAAATACACCGCAACACACCATCGCAAAAAAAAACTCGTCGTGTTTAATTCACGATTTTGTGTGGGGCGGCATTCACAGCCACCCTGGGCTGCAGGCGGCCGTGGGCCCCACATGGGACACCCCTGGGCCCACTCAGCGACGGCCAGGGAAGGACAGACAAGGCTACACCTTGTGAACCTCAAAAATGCCGTGAAGGAAGCCAGGCACCCACAGCCACAGGCGGTCCGACCCCACTGCTGGGAGCTGCCCAGACTTGTCACATCCGCGGAGACAGAGCGCAACTCCGTGGCCCGGCCGGGCCAGAAGGAGGCCGGTGGGCGCCCCAGGGGAGGCCCCAGGCACGTCCTGGGAGAGCAACGGCCGCACAGCTGTGACTGGACTGAAAGCGGTTCTTCGCCCCCAACGGGTGGGCTGCCGGCACGGGGTCGACACAACTGTCACCTGAAAACGATCTCCCTTGACAACCGTCCCGCTCCGCCCACCGACCGCAGTTCCCCACCAGGTCAGAAACGCTAACCACCCCCAGCGAGCCCTCTAGGAGTCTCCGCGCAGCGGCCCGCCCCCGCCCCCCGCCCGGATCCCGGCATCGGGCTCTCCCGCGGCCGCACCGGGCCCAACCGCAGCTTCCAGCCGTGGCGCCCCCTCCGTGCGGCGGGGCCGCGGCCGGCGCCCCCCGGACCGCGCAGCGTCTGGGCCGCACGCGTCCACGAAGGGAGAGCCGGGACAGGCGCCGCGGGCCGGCGCGGAGTTGACACTTGTCCCCGCACCTCACCGAGTTGACCGCACGGGGATCCCCGCAGGGGCCCGGCGCCCGCGCCGCCCAGCTCGGTTGGTGCGACTTTTCGTCCCGAGGCCACTGAAGAGCAACCGCGACGGGGCGGCCCCGCATCCAGGCGCACGGGAGGCGGCGGCGGGCGGGAGCTGCAGCCCCGCTCCGAGGCCGGCCCGGACCCGCCTCTCGCGCGGGTCCCCGGACCCCTGCACCCCGCCTTCCCGCCCGTAGACCCCGCTGGGCCCGGGGACGTCGGCCGAGGCGAGGAAGCCGGAGGGGAAGGGGTGACCGCCGCGCTCGGAGGAGGCAGCGGTCGGGGCCCAAGGGGCGGCAGGTGTGCGCCGGGTGCTCGGCAGGTGCGGACACCGCCCCGGACAGGTGTGACCGGGGCCTGGCACAGGTGCGAGCTGGGGCCCGGCTGGGGCAGATGGCCGGGGCAGGTGCGGGCGGAGGCGAGCCCCTCAGCAGGACCCGCTGCCCGGGGCCCACGCCAGCCGGCACACACGGACCGCCCTCCGGCGGCCGGGCCGCCCCCTGCCGGGAGCCCCCACCTTGCACTTACACAGCCGGGGGCCCTGGGCCCGGAGCAGAAGCCGGCGGGCGGGCGGGCGGGCAGGCGGGCGGCGAGGCCGAGCAGATTCGGCGGCCGCTCCGGCTCGGAGCTGCAGCTTCCTAGTGGCGGGTGGGAGGGGCGGGAGCGGGGAGGGCCGAGCCGGTACCGCTCCTGCGCATGCGCGGAGCCGCCAGGGCCAGTACTCCGTTCCGGGTTTTGGAAGACGCCGGGAGGGAGGGGAGGGACGCCCGCGGGTCAGGGCGGGAGAGAAGGCGGGGAAGCGGGGGGGAGGAAGGACTGGGAGGGACGGGAGGGAGAAAGCGGCGTGTGTAACCGAACACGGGGGCTCCTGGCTTGCAGTGTTTGAGCCGGAGGAACCCAGGTCTTGTTGAGGGAAAACGTTTTTATTTTTACCTGTGACGATAAAGGAGCCTGGGGAATTTTCTTCAAAGCTCTGCCCCCTGTAGGAAGGCTCAGCCATTGCTTCTACCCACTATGCAATTAATTAATTGTCGATGTATTTTTTGCAATTTTTTGCACACAGATTTGGTTAATTACTTTTTTTTTTTTTGTAGTTGGCTAAACTGATTCCGTTGTGGTTCAGGTCAAGCCCTCTGCAAAATGCTGGGCTACCTTCTAGTATTTATCAAAAACCGCGTTTAATAAGAACCGCCCAGACCTTGAAAACCTTGTCCTATCTGACAGATAGCGGGACCTGGAGGGTCCGGAGGGGAGGCGGCGGCGCAGAGAAGCAGAGAGAACAGCTCTGGCTCCTGGGGCGGGCACCGAAGGAAGGACCTGCCCTGTGTCCCCGCCCCTCCTCGTCCCTCCAGGCGCGCAGCTCCCCTTTCTCCTCCGCGGAAAGCCCTCCGGCCCTGGCGCCTGCAGAATCCCTGCTGCATCCCCGCGCCGCCACTGCGCGGAGCCCCGCTGTTGGCACTGCAGGGACCAGCCCAGACCGGTTGTCGTCAACTTTCGAAGGGGAGTCTAAGGACCCCTTTTACGGGTTGGGGCACTGACACACGCAGGGCCTTGGCACAGTGGCAGGGGCTGGCCAGGAGCAGATGGCCTGAGTGCTGGTGCTGCTCCCCACCCCTCGTGGGTAAACCACCCCAACTTTGGGGACCCCAGCTGTTCAGCCACATCAAGGGCTCCGAGCATGGGACAGCTGATCTGCGTTTCAGGGCCAAGGAGCCAAGCTTGCAATGTAGAGGAAGAAACCATTTAAGGATTTAAACCCCTCCATGTTAAAGAAATAAAAAGTTTACATACGTTCTTTGGAACATGCATCACATATTTGGAAATACACACAGGAATTGTGAACAGTGGCATCTCCAGGGTGGGCTGAGAGAACAGAGGACCAGGAAGACCCTCCTTCCCTTTGTTGTGTGTGTGTGTGTGTGTGTGTGTGTGTGTTGTGTTTGAATGTTTTTACCATATGCTCCATATGTATTTATTTTTCGATTAAAAAATATAGAGGAGGACAGAAGTGGTTCTCTCAGCAAATGCAGCAGCCGTGGAAAAACCATCTGAGCCATCACTTTGCTTGAAGCCAGCAAGCACTTATTGAGCCTCTGCTATGTGCCCAGTGCTATCGTATGACTTATTTTATTATTCATATTTTAATAAAATAATAATATGCTCTTCCTCATCCCTGCCCAGAGCCAGTGGAAAACCAACTGAGTTTTTACTGAATTGTTTTCCAAGGAGAAGGAATTCGTTATAAACAGAACACAACTTCAGGGCAAAACAAGGGGAGTGGTTTGCCAGCCTGCCAACCAGCCAGCCAGCCAGGGTTTTCCAGGGCGGTGCCCAGGAGCTGAGAGAGGGTGCCCGCGGGGCTGCTCCGTGGTGGTGAGCGGGCACGTGGCAGTCATGGAGCACAGAACATGGGCGCGGACGGAGGCCAGGCTTCATGGAGGCCCGCGTGCCGGGAACAGAGCTTGGGGCTCAGCTCAGCCCAGGCGAGGCAGCTGTTCTTAGCGCCGGGGTCCGGAAAGGACACCACCTGGCTGGGGCCACTCAAGTCGCTGCTGCTATTTAGGGACTCTGGTCCGGGGCCGTCTGACTCCGTGGCCTGTGCCCTTTCCACGGTCCTTTTTTGTTCCGATTCCGTCTATAAATGGATAAGACAAGCAATTTGGAAACAAGACTGAAAGCTGGCAAAGAAAACATGACTATTTTTGTACAGTGTGTCTCTGTTCAGTGCACTCACTTATATTAATGTATCTTGTTGTCTCAGCAAATCTGTGGGGAGGGAGGGAAGGGACTAATCTGCATTTTCACCAGCGAGAAAACCGAAGCTCAGGGAATTTGAGGGCTTGCCACCCCCTCACAGCCATCAAACAAGGGCGTCCAGACCAGCCCCAGGACGGCCTCACCTCTGGGGGTTGTGTGCCTACTGCAGCTTTAACGTTTCCCAAGCGTCTCCTCTGGATGCTGAGACTTCAAAGAACACGCCAAACCTGCTCTCAAGGAGTGCATAGACACCTACAGTCGGGAAGGAGCCTCTGAACCCATCAGGCCCCACCTCGCACTCACACCAAGCGCCTCTCTGCAAATGTCCCAAGAAGTCTGACGGCATGGAGCCCTGTTAGAAAGCTCTACAGTAGGACAAGGCGAGTCTGCCCCCCTGAAACTGCCGATCACGCAGTCTGGAAGGCGAGGACCAGTGCCCAAGGAGGCTTCATGGAATTGAAAACGGTCACGGAAACATGAGTCAAACAAAGCGCAGGTGGGAGCACCCGCTTCGTCACTACCCACTTCTGTCTTCATCCGAGCAGTGGGGGTGAGCCCTTCCCAGGGCTGTTACTGGTGCTCAGTGAAACCATCGATGGGAGAGCCCTTTGGGACAGGATGAGACAGATCTAAGCTCTACCTCAGTTCTGTCACACGCTACTGCTGCGGCTTTTGGGATAGGGTGACCGCATGTTTTGATTTGCCTGGGACAATCCCAGTTTAAGACTGTCGTCCCAGCTAGCCAAGTCTGGATGGGTGACATGATCACCCCACATGGGGCAAAACCCATCACCTCCCTGCATTTCTGACCCTTTCCACGTCCGAGAGCGGCTGTCTTCTGCCACGCAGCCCACTCGGAAATGTGTCCGTAATGCCATGGCTCACCTGGGCTTTCTTGTTCCCAAGACGAAAGAGATTCATGTCTTTAACCGCATTGATTTAGCGCCACTAAGAACCAGCTGCGTGTGCAGGTCTTTCACAGCTCTTCCCTCAAAGTAACACAGTCGTGGTAACTGCCACTCGCTGGCAGGCAATGTGCAATGTGCTGGGTGCAAATTTCCCATGTAACCCCACAATGACCCTGTAAGGTAGGTTGTTCTAAGAGCAGGGGACTTACACTCCTTTCCCCCCCTTCCTGAGTGTGGAATAATTGAGAAGTAAGACGCAGGAACCAGACCATGGATGTTTACAAGCCAGTGTTATGACCAATACTTCATTGGAGAGGGTGCTTTATATCTGGAGCCAAAAGTTGGGTTTTGGTTTACTCAATCCTTCATTTTAGAATAGTTATTCAGACTGAGTCAGCCAGAGCTGGATAACCACAGGCCTCCCCTCCACGGTCCGAAGTCACACAAGCTAATGAGGGACAAGCTTGGCATTCAACCCCAAGATAAGCACCAAAGCTCACTTTAAACCTCATAACCGCTCCGAAAATCACTCCTTTCAGACATGAATGTAAAGTGACGGAAGGGGCTCAGTCACGGAGCGGCTAGCCAGGCTGCCACCTCGCGCCTCCCAGTGTTCAGTGCTGCTTTCGGAGATGGGAGCCTTCGCGAAGGTCCTTGGACTAAGATGGGCCGGTAGCACCTCCCCGGGCAAGAACCCTAGTCCACCAGACCTGAGTGTTAAAGAGGAGATAAGGTTGCAAAGATGGAACCGCAGAGTGTCAGCCGCAACGTGGACTCCTCGAGTCCAACTCGTCTTCGCGTCCCAGGGCCAGCAGAAGCTCCGACACAGCGAGCGCTCGGCGAGGGCAGAGCAGATCCGCCCGCTCAGGGAGGGAACAAATGAATGAAATTCTGCAGCCCGACTCCGGGGTCTGCCGCGGCGCCACAACCTGGGCTTCCAACTGGCCAATCACCGGCTCCACTCGCCCCCGGGACCCCGCCCATGCACGCCCTTCTGGATTCCCTCCAGCTGCGCAGAAATCCCGGAACCCTGGATCACCGAGGCGCCTCCGTGGGAGTGCGCATGCTCTAGAACTGGCAACCGCGGATTTGAAAGCGATTGGTTGGGAGACGAAGCCACGTCCCACCTCCCAACTAACTCCCCCCGCAGAACGTAGGACTCCGTTTGGCTACTGTCATCCCCACTACGACGCCCGACAAAACGAGGGGAGACGGCCCATTCAGAAACGCTGCACAGACAGGGAAGGCAAATCGTGAGCGGCCGGAAGTGACGCAAATAACGAGCGGAAGAACAGAGGCCCCGCATTTGTTGCCCTGGAAACCGACCTCCTCGACTGCGTGCCAAGTGCGTCAGCGGCAGCCGTGGCGTCTGGGTGGCGTGCTGCGCGCGCCCGCGGGGGGCTCTCTGCGAGGGCACGCTCCAGGGTAGGCAGGGAGCTGCGCAGATTGCTTCTCCAGCCCCCTGGCCGCCTCCAGTGGGAGTCTTCCCGTAACTAATTCTCTGCTGGGTTTTCAAGCTCCAGCTTCCGGATCTCAAAGAAGACGCACGGTTCTTTTCTCATTTCCTCTAAGCCACGCTCCTGCGCGCGTCCTTGTCTTTTCCACATTGTTCCTTCAGAATGTCCAACGGGAGCATCCTGCTCTTTGACGTTATGCCGAACTGGTACAGGGCACTCCCTCCCATCTTCCCAGGTGGCTGTTGGTCTGCACAGAAGTGTGGGTCGTTGATGGTCCCTTCTTTTTACTTTGTTTTTATATTTCCTCATTTTTATTTAAAAGGCATACATACATTGATTTCATAATGAAGAAGTAGATCACTTTTTAAAAAAACAAGTTCTTTGTCCTCAGAGAGCTTGTTAGCTTTGGGGGAACGCGTTTTTTATTTATCTTTTTTTATATATAATTTCAAACAGAAAAC